CAGTCACGTGACCAAGCCAGTGCTCAATTTGGGCCAGAATCAAGGATTGGCCATGGCTAGGGGCAGCGATCAGGGCTCAAACTATGTCCCAGGTTTCAGGTCAGAGCATAGTCACAGCCCAAAGTCAAGCAATAGAGCTCTCTCTATGGTCAGAGTCAAGGATTAGGGCTCAGTCAGGGTCCAGGACCCTGGGCTAGTCTTCTCTCTCTTTGGAGAGGGACCAGGGCTGAGTTGGCTCTGGATCCCTGGAGGAGCACCTGGTATCAACCAGGAAGCCTAAGACTCTCAGCAGCAGGCCCCTCCCCTTCCCTCTGTCACTCCCTAAGGGCTAGCCTGGCACAGAGTTTTCCACAGGCCTGACAGGGAAGCAGGGTGGGGTCAGAGGCTAGGGGCAGGCACCATCTATCCAGGAGGATGTCTTGCGTAAGATTTTCTGATGCAACTAGCTCAACACTGTCCTGTCCCCCAACCCCCCAGGTTTTCTCAGAAAGGGAAGGGCTGGGCAGTAGCCTGGACAGAACATACAACATCCCTTTCCTTCCCTGGCCTCTGATGGCCTCCAGACCTGCAGAAGACAGGAAAGTGGGAGGAGCAGGGGTCAGATGTCCTGGGAGGGGGCTGGTTTGGGGGCTCTCTCCCCCTCCCAGCTGGGAGATAAGAAAAAAGTCAGGATCTCTGGAAATTTGGAGATCCCCAACTTCCCCAACCTCCCCCTTAACCCCCATCCAGCCCTACACACACACACACTAGTACTTAATGTGTTTGAGTCCCAGGAGGGACTGGTAGCTACCCAAGGTTACTCAAAGTCAGAGGCAAATTTGGAGCCAGAACCAATTGTCCTGGTGCCTTTCTAGCTCCTCCTACCACAGGAAGGAAAAGGACCCTTCACCCTTCAGAAGGGCATGGGGCTTCTTCTGCAACCTTCCTTCAGCCTCACTCAGGCTCCTGAAATAGTGGCTCAATGTGGGCTTTGGATCACATAGACCTAGGATCAAACCCTATCCACTTGCTGTGTGACCCTGAGCAGGTTACTTCTGCCCTCTGACACCCAGTTTACTCACTTGTGACACAAGCATAAATTCATCCTCACCTCATGAGAAAGCAGAGGGAGGGCCCAGGCAGGGCCAAGCTCAGGAAAACAGGTCCACTCCCCCTTCATCCTCTGCCCTTTTGTGCAGGAGGAGGGCTACAAGCAGCCTGTGCTGCTTGGAAATAGGAGCTACTCGTCACTGAATGCTGGCAACCAGCAACCCTATCAGGAGGGTAATACAGTGTTACCAGTCAAGTCTCGGTTTATACACCTGCCTGTGGGGATCAGAGTGGCTGTGTGATTTGCCCAACGTCTTATGAGTGCAAGGCAGCAGACCAGAGATTGCAGGGTTTGAGCCAGACCCACAGGTCTGAATCTCACTGGTCCCTTCCCCCTCTGGCAATGATGTCACTTCTCTGAGCGCTGGTTTCTTCATTTGTCTCCAGGGATAGGAGCAAGAACATGGCGGGGAGGTGTGAGGGTGACATGAGGTGATATAAGGGAAGCATCCACCCAGGCCACGCTGGACCCCAGCCACGTGGCCACCGCTTAGCTGTCCTTCCTTCCTCTCCTGGGTCCAAAACCTGAGACAACTCCAGAGAAAGGGAAGGTGCCCAGTTCCCTAGAAAAGGGCTCCCCAGGAGAAGCACAGGCCTGGCTACAACTTTTGAATCACCCACCATCTTCCCCATATTGACAGGCTCCAATCCATTCATCCATTTGTACCATTACCCCATGTTTTCCTTTTATCCAGCTCATTAAAATGACGGCACCTGTAATCCTAACTATTTAGGAGGCTGAAATCAGGAAGATCTTGGTTTGAAGCTAGCCCAGGCAAATAGTTCATGAGACTCCATCTCATGAACTATTTATTTGCAAAATAACTATTGCAAAATGTCCTGGAGATGTGCCTCAAGTGGTAGAACACCTGCTTTGCAACTGCAAAGCCCTAAGTTCAAATTCCAGTCTCACCAAAAAACAAAACAAAAACTCCTTAGATATATTTATTTAAACTGGAAAATTTAAATCACTCACTGCATTTGGAAAACTATCATTTGCCATAAAGACGAGGTCACCATAAAACTAAATACAAGGAAAGCAAAACAAGTTATGCAACCTTGCTCAATCCTCTTTCCGGCTGAAGGTTCTGGCCTGAGCTCTGCTCTCCTTCCCTATGGAGAGAGGTGTGAAAGGCAGGTGCTGTTCGGTGAGATTTTCCCCCAAGACACTGGAAGAACAGGAAGAACATCACATCGGAAAGGGATCGCCACTTCTCACTCTGGTCCAGTGTTATTTCACACAGAGTCTCAGAAACCCTAAAGCCCTCTGGACGCCATTACTGCACACAGTATATTTTGGAAAACACTGACCTAATCTAACTCTCTCTTACTATTTTACAGATGAGAAACTAAGGCCCTGAAAAGGGAAGTGACTTGTGTACAATCTCCCAGGTTCTTGACTTCAGCCAGACCTGGAATCCAACCAGGAGCTCCAAGGCACGGCTGCACTTCTGTGGGGCAGAAAGTATAAAGACAAAAAGTTGTAATTGGGTGCCAGTGGCTCACACCTGTAATCCTAGCTACTCAGGAGGCAGAGGCCAGGAGGATTGAGGTTCAAAGCCAGCCCTGGCAAATAGATTGTGAGACCCTACCTTGATAATATCCAACACAAAAAGAGGATTGGTGGAGTGGCTCAAGCAGTAGGGCTCCTGAGATCAAACCTCAGTGCCCCACCCCCAAAATTCAATAAAAAATATTAATTACATATGTCATTCCCATTTTGTTTCTTTTGAAAAGTCCTGGTCTAGAGAATTTGGATTTGACAAGGCTCCCAAATTGGAGGGCCATGCTGAAGGTGACATTCCAGTGACCACACCAGGTAGAGGCCGATTGGTTGAAATACTGTGAAATGTCCCAGAACACTGTGAGCATGGTATCATTTGACCCAGGTTTAAATATCAAATCTGCAAGCTAGGTGGCATTAGGTAAGCCCTTCATCTGTCACCCTTGTGATCTATAGAATGGAGGTGACAGTGCTCATTTCACAGTTCCTTAATTGCCTCAAAGTCCTGCCTCAGGGCTTTTGCAACTTAACTTACTACTTTCTCTGTCTCCTCTCATCTTTGCAGCACTCACCCCTTCTCTTCCTTAAAATCTTAAACATCATCTAGAAAAGTGGTGAGAACTGCACACCAGAAAATAGCCATTCTCAGTCATAATAAAGACAAATATATACAATTTTAGTGTTTCTTTCATGTCAAGAAAATACATAACACTTCAATAATCTATTTTAAGTGATCTTGGTTACTGATTTTTAAAATAATGATCTGTCTCCTTACTGTTTTTTAAAGATCTATGAGGACAGGTTTGGGTCAGTTTGGTCACCCCCATCCCAAGCATATTAGAGCAGGGCCTGTTAGAAATGTCCAAGCAAAGCCAGTACAGGTGGTTTACAGAGGTGCTCAGAAATCATATCATCCCTGGCTCCTTTTGCCATTACAGCTGTGGAATCTGCCATCTGTCTCCCAGTAAGGGAGTGGCCAGGGTTAAAAGAGATCCCAGAATCCCCCAGGAAAAGCTCGGAGACAGGGGAGCAGATCCCTGGGTCTGAGGGGAGACAAAGGTGACCACACCCTGCCTCCCCTCCAGCTCTGCAGGGAGGAGTTGTTTTTTGATATTGAGGAGCTGGACCCCTGGGGCTGCACAGGGATATTCCATCCAGGCCTGGGGCTTTGTCCTGTTAGAGACCCTTCCCCTCTGGGAGTCTCATGTTTGCATTCTATTTACTGAATGCCTCTGATGTGCCCCATGTGTCCTCAGCATCTCCTGTGTATGAACTTATTAAAGCCTCACAGCAACTAGGGTTGCGGGTGCAGGCTAGGCAAGTGCTCTGCCACTGAGCTACACCCCAGCTGGAGGCAAGGCTTTAAGTGGCTTTTCTGAGGTACCCCAACTGATGATAGCAGAACTCAAGTGCATACCTAGGTAAGATGGCTCTGGGGTGCTTGCTTTTAGCAACTAGGTCACCCTGCCTCTCTCAAATGAGTGCTAGGAGCTCACCTGCTGTGGAAGCTCACCTGATCTTGGGCCTCCCCAGGCCACCCCACCGATTCTTTCCAGGTCAGAGTCTTGTAGGATCTGAAATTTTTGTGTCAGGAACACTCTTGGGTGACTTTATAGCTGACTCTCAGTAGGATGAGGGACAATGGAGCTTCTCACCTGCCTAGGGTTTTCCTAGGGATTTAATAGGGTGAGAACATGCTTTGTAAAAGAAGTAGCAGCCTGTAATCCCAACATTTGGGAGAATTACAAGTTTCAGGCCAGCTTAAGCTACATAGGAGACCCTCTCTCCAAAACAAAATCAAGCCAGACACAGGTGGCCCACACGTGTAATCCTAGTTACTCAGGAGGCAGTGATCAGGAGGATCGTGGTTAGAAGCCAGCCCTCAGCAAATAGTTCAGGAGACCCTATCTTGAAAATCCCCAACACAAAAAAGGCTGACAGAGTGGCTCAAGAGGTAAGAGCAAACATGAAGCCCTGAGTTCAAATCCAAGTACCGCCAAACAATCAAAACCCACAAAAACAAAAGCAAAAAACCAGGAAACAGTCTGCTTGCTGTTTTTTCTTCTGAATCATCCTGAGAAGGATGTTCTTCCCGTTTCAAAGATGGGGAAACTGAGGCTCAGAGCAGTAAATTGTTTTTGCCAAGGTGATGGGGAGAGTCAGTGGCTGGTACCTGCACTTAAGAGTCTAGTCCCTAGTGGGGCAGCGAGGTGGGGCGGGCAGTGGGCGGACCGAATGGGAGAGGCCCGGTGCAGCGCTGGCGGTGACCAGGGAGGCGGGGCGCCAGGGATGGTGCAATCCCGGGCCGGAGGCCGTCAGGCGGCAGCCGATTAGCTCGGGTTTACATCACCCGGACCAGGAGTGAGACCCGGCTCTGGGCGCGCACAAGATACTCGCAGTCCAAGGGCTTGCGGCTCGGCGCGTGTCCGCAGCTCCGGGCCTGGGCGCGAGCAGACCCCGGATCTCGGAGCGCGTCCCGTTCCACCTGCGATCACCGACGGCGCGGGAGCCCGCGTGGGACTCCAGGACAAGGTATCCGGCGGGGGGCGGCAGAGTGGACATGCCCGAACCTGGCGGCTGGAAGGAGCGGCTGGGACAGAGGGACAGAGGGACAGAGGAACTGAGGGACAGAGGGTGCATCCGGAGTCCCCGGGCGCCGGCGTGTTGCTGCGAGCCGCACGCACTCGCACACACGCGCGCGCGCACAGACACAACTTTGAACAAACTCGGCCGCTGGGGGTCCCTGGGCGGAGAGTTCTGTCCCCAGCCTAGGAGTTGCTGCGAGGCAGGGCGTGGGGGATACCGAGTGTGGCCGAGTTGGGCTGGAGCGGGGTGCGCACCTGTAGGGCGTGGCGGCCGTGTCCCCTGGGGCGGGCGGAGCCCGGGACTGTCACCCAGAGGGCGGTGTGCGGTACTGGGTGTTTTTGTGTTTTGTGAGCGTGGAGCGGGGAGCTCCGTGGTCGGGCTGGGGGGAGGTCCGAGTGTGTGTCCAGCGGGACATCGCAGGATTGTGTCGGGTGGTGTGTGCATTAGCAGGGTGTGGGGGATCTGCGTGAGCGTGCGGGACAGAGGCCGGCTGAAGGCAGGTCCTGGGGATCCAGTAGATAGTGGGAGCGGTGGAGAGGGCTGGCCACCTGGTGGCGGAGGTTGGCTGTGCGAGGACACGGTCCGGGCAAGGCTGGGGTGCTCAGGGAACCTGCCTCGGTGGGAGCGCAGGGTGCGAGTGCAGAGTGATCGGAGGCGAGCACTGGAATTGGGCGCCGCAGGCTGCCCTGAACGCGTGTGTGGTGCGCCCGAAGACCGCCCCGGCTGCACCCGCAGTCTTCGGGGTGTGGAGGGCGAGGGCCTGGCTCCGTCCCCGCTCCCCGCCCAGGCCCAAGCTTCCTAGCTTTGCTTTCCCTCTCCCAGCCCTGGGGAAGAGGGCAGGTTTCCTTTAAACCTTGTAATCCCAGCTGTTGTCGCTGTCGCTTCCGCTCCCGCAGGAGAGGCCTGGCTGCGAAAAGCCGGGCAGGGAGAAGTCGCGACTGCCCTGGGGCCATGTGCGTTGTGTATTCCGTGTGCGTGCGTGTGCGAGCGTCCGCGCTTGCCCGTGGACAGCCAGGTGTATGCCACTGGATATGTATGCCCCTCTCTGCCCTGGATGTGTCTGTGGCTGGTTGGGTGGGACAAAGTGTGTTTCTGAGAAGAGAGCGCACACCTGTCAGCCCTGGGTGATGGAGTGTGCGAAGTGTAACCTGGGGTCTCCTGCCCAGGTGTGGCAGAGGACAAGAGGTAGATATTAGGGGCTGTCTCCATTCTACAGCTGAGGTTCTAGTCTTGCTCATTTATGGACTCAGTTTCCCCATCTGTTCAGGCTCACCAGGCTCTGAGGGGTGGGTAGGGCCAAGGCAGCCTGGAGTTCCATGTGGCCACCTCCAGGGGACTCCAGGCCAACTCCTGCTGCTGAGGGCACAAAACATTTTCACAGCATTCTCTTGCCTGACTGGACAGTTGAGAGGAAAGGAGAGTTATGGAGCTCCTTTCCCTGGGGAGAGCGCTAAGGCTCCCGGGGCTGGCACTTAGCATACCCCCCTAGGAATAACAACAATAGTAAGGGAGCAAGGTGGGTGTCACCTACCCTGCCACCAGCCCGTGCTTTGTGTTTTCATTTCTTCATCTGAAAAATTCTGTGAGCCTGGCATCGCAGGAACCTAGGCTTAGAAAGGTGGAGGAACTGCTGGGATTAGAACCCAGAGACCCCCCCACTACAGCACCCCTCCACTCTCATCCCTCTCTCCTACACCCCCTCCGCTGCCATTCCAGTCTTGCCAGGATTGTGGGTCCTCACTCGTCCCTCTCAGGCAACATTTGGGAGCAACAGGACTGAAGTTCAGCCTGAAAGCTGATGTTTCCCCTCTAGTACTGACTTGCACTGTTGGGAAGTTCTTTTCAGGGCTGTGCCACTTTCATACCCTCTCACCCGCAGGAGAGGAGAGGGACTGTTGGGAAGTTCTTTTCAAGGCTGTGCCACTTTCATACCCTCTCACCCGCAGGACAGGAGAGGGACCACCCGCATCCTCCCCTCCTGCCTTTCTTCCCCTGTTCTAGATGCGGGCCACCCCTCTGGCTGCTTCTGTAGCTTCCCTCACCAGGAAGAAGAGGTTGGAGTTGGATGATGACTTCAGTGTGGACTATCCCAGCCGAAAACGAGCTCGACGTGGGCCCCAGCCCAAGCCACCCCCTTGTCTGCTGCCCCTGAGCCCTCCCCCTGCTCCAGACTGTGCCCCTGCTGTGGCCCTTGCTTCTCGGCTGGGATCATATATCCTCCTGGAGCCCGAAGAGGGCGGGCGGGCCTATCGGGCACTGCACAGCCCCACAGGCACAGAATACACCTGCAAGGTATGTCCCCAGGGCGCTCTTTCCTGTGCAGCTCAGGGGCTTGCAAAGGGTCTGGGCTCCTAAGGATTGCCAGGATGCCAAGGGGTCCCCCTGTATTTGTTTATTGCTATGTTTGTTGGAGAAGCAGCTGGTGAGTCCCCGACTGGGCTGAGAGCAGAGAGGTAAAGCAGACATGTACCCAGCACTCAGGGCTTAGGCCCTGTAGCGTGGGAAATGCTGCTGGCTGGAGCTTAGGACCTATGGAAGTGCGGAGGGTACTGCTCAAGAGTGTGTCCTCAAAGGTTGAACAGGAGTTAACCAGCTAGAAGTGGGAGAAGAGAGTCCAGGGGACCTGTGCCAAGGCCCGGACAATTGAGCACTTGGCACTCAGAAGATGAAAAGGACCTTGAGCTGGCCAGAATGGGAAAGGTGTGTAGAATGGGGCAAGCCAGGAGGGTTGGCAACAGGCTGGCGTGAAAGCTTCTGGAGGGTGCTCGCACCTGATCATGTGGGCCGTGCAAGGTGTTTGTACAAGAGAAAGGCAGGGTATGGTAGGACATCAGAAATCCTAGGTCCCAGAGACAATGGGGCCTGACCTGTGCCACTTTACAGATGGGAAGACTGAAGTCGAGAGAGGGAAGGGGCTATGCATGAACCCACTTAGCACCAGGCCTGGAGCCTAGAATAAAATAAAGCAGTAGGGTGAGGCCCCTGAAGGTCAGCCCATGCAGAATGTTGCCAAAGGACATAAATGCCAGTAAGAAGTATATTATTACAGTAAGACAATAGATAGTTTTTGTACACCACACACACTACTCGGGACAGTCTCCCTGTCTCTGTCTCTCTGTCTCTCTCTCTCTCTACAGTACTGGGGTTTGAACTCAGGGCTTTGTGCTTGTGAGGCAGGCGCTCTACCACTTGAGCCACACCTCCAGCCCTCTCTTTTCCTCTTCACCTAAACTAGGTGGTAGTCTTCTTGGCCCATTTTAAAGACAGAGGACACTGAGGCTTATACAGCTATGGTCGTGTCAGAGTCAGGCTGTGTCAGAGGGGCTTGGGCCCAGCAGGTGGAGGCCAGAGCCCAGTGCCCACTGCTAGAATGAGAGTTTCTGACAGAAGCAGGGCAGGCTCCCCAGGGAGGCAAGCATAAGGAAGACGTTTATCTAGACACACAGTCCTTGAAAAGGTGCTGCCAGTGGAGAGACTTCAGCCTCCTTCTGGGAGCAGCCCAGGCTCAGGCAAGGGGATAGAGCTCGACTGGATCCAGCCATTGGCTTCTCCTGGACTCTGGGTTGTCTGATATAGGTCTGTGGTGCTGTACCCCAGGTACTGTCAGGAATCCTGACTTTGGGTCCTCTTCCTACAGTATCACAGGTCTTTCTATTTACACTAGGGAGGGAGCCCATGAGGAAAGAAACGACCCCAGTGGGCTTGGGGCAGAAGCCACGTGGTTTTACGGGACCCCAAATTCCTCCAAATCATTTAGGGAAACCCCTGGGATGCCTTCATTCCTATGCTGGTGTGAACTGTGGAGCCTGCAAGGCGATTTCCAGATCGCTTTGGCTTTTCTGGTCAGTTAGTGCATGGAAGGCTCGGTGTCTTGACTCCATACTTGTTAATGCAGCAAAACTTCACCAAGCCCTGGACATGCCACAAGATTGTGCTGTGGCTAAAAATCAGACCAGGCTGGGCGTGGGGAAGTATGCCTGGTAATCCTAGCACTTGGGAGTCTGAGCCAGGAGGACTGGGAGTTTGAGGCTACCCTGGGCTACATAATGAGATTCTGTCTCAAAAAAAATCATAAAAAAAACAAGGGCCAGTTGTGGTAGCACATGCCTGCGGTCCCAGCTATGTGGGAGGTTCTAGATAGGAGGATCACTGTCTGAGACCAACCTGAGCAAAAACATGAGACCCTATCTGAAAACACTAAAAGCAAAATGGAGCTGGGCACCCGTGGCTCATGCCAGTAATCCTAGCTATCCAGGAGGCAGAGATCAGAAGGATCACTGTTGGAAACTAGCCGCAGGCAAATAGTTTGATAGACCCTTATCTTGAAAAAAACTATCACAAAGGGCTGGAGGAGTAGCTCAAGCGGTAAGGGCTCCTGCCTAGCAAGTGTGAGGCCTTGAGTTCAAATTCCAGTACTGGAAAAAAAAAAAAAAACCCGCACACACTCAACAACAAAAAGACCTAAAACTCCAGGCCCAGTGCTGCTCTCAAGCTGATACTGTGGTGGCCACTGACAAGGTCGATAAAGAAGTACCACAGGGGTCAGGTGATCACAATTGCTATGGAGAAAAACACAGTCAGGAGACAAAGGGCGGGGGGTGGGGGGTGGGCACCGGAGTGGGGGGGAGGATAGGGACCAGGGAATTCTAGCTAGGGATCTCCTGGAGGACCTCTGAAAGGTGACATCTGGGCAGTGACTGGGAGGAGCAGAGTCCAATCCTGTGGCAGCAGGTCCAGAAGCATGTGGGGCAAGAATGGGCCTACAGGAACAAAGGGAAAAGCAGTCTCTGTGTTTGCTTCCTCCATCACCCTAGGTGCTTTTTCTTCTAAAGTTATGTGCTCTGTATCTTTTTTCATGGACTATAAATATGTGCTTTATTTATTTTTTTCTGTGTGTCACTCAAAATAACATGCAAAGAGTTTAAAGTCAAACAAATCAGAGTGAGCATGCCCGCTCTGCTACTGGTTAGCTATGCCTTCTAACAAGTTGCTTCCCTTTTCTGAACTTCAATTTTACCATCAGTAAAAGAGGACACACCTTTCAGGTGATGTTTAATGTCCATCAAACTCACCACCCTCACCACATGCCCATCCTCCTCCTCACCCCATTCTGCCCACAATATACCTTTTGGCTGGGTTTCTGGGGCGGTGGAGCTTGTGCTCACCTCAGAGCCTGTGCCCCCAACCTGGGAGCTGGGAGGCTTATCCCATGAGCATCTCTCCATCACTCGAGTCACTTCCCCAGAGTCACTTCTAGACCACACTGTGTGTGTGTGTGTGTGTGTGGTGTATACAGTATTTGAACTCAGGGCTTTGTGCTTGCTAGGCAAACACCCCACTACTCCATCCACACATTGGAGCACACTTGCTAAAACAGTGCCCCTTCTAAAATGCTCAGTCATCTTTCTTGGATCCTTTGCAGCACTTATTAGAATTTAGTTAGTTGGCTTGCTTGCACTGTCTCCTTCCTGTGTTGTGCTGTGGACACCAGGAGAGCAGGGACCATGGCTGCCAGTTCAGTTAGCTCTCTAGTGCCTGGCACCAGTGGGCTCAGTGCCAGCTGGCTGGATGAGTGAAAGGGCTGTGGGTGTGATTCTGAGAGAGGAATGGCTTTGAGGATTTCTTTTTTTCCTTTCTTTTGTCTTGCTATTTAGCTCAGGCTGGCCTGGAACTCCTGATCTTCCTTCCTCAGCCTCCTGAGTGCTAAGATTATAGACAGGCACCTCCATGCGTGGCTGCTTTAGTCTTCTGGCCTTCTGGTCTCCCTGCTTCAAGGGCTGTTTTTTTGTTTGGACTATCCATGTGTTACTTTTCGGTTATCTGAACCTTAATGCCATACAGGGTGGCAGTTTAGAGCACAGAGGAAGGAGTGCATAGGTTCCAGTGCCAGCTGTGCTGAGTGCTGGCCGCCTGGCAGTCAGCTTCCTTCACTGTGAAATGGGGTGCGGCTTGGTCCTTGCAGGACTGTTGGCAGGGTTGGTGACTTGATAAGCAAAGTGCTGGGCACACCGCCTAGTACACGGTAAGTGTCTAAAAGCTTGGCTGTGCTGTTTGCAAGGCCAGCTCGGCCCCCCTGTGCTCACCCCGTGCTTGCTCTGCCCACAGGTGTACCCGGCTTGCGAGGCCCGCGCAGTGCTGGAGCCCTACGCGCAACTGCCCCGCCACGATCTGGTGGCACGGCCTGCTGAGGTCCTTCTGGGTCCCCAGCTCTACGCCTTTTTTGCTCGGACCCACGGAGACATGCACAGCCTGGTGCGCAGCCGCCGCAGGGTCCCAGAGCCCGAGGCCGCGGCACTGTTCCGTCAGATGGCGGCCACGGTGGCGTATTGCCACCAGCACGGTCTAGTCCTGCGCGACCTCAAGCTGCGTCGTTTTGTCTTCACCGACTGTGAGAGGTAAGTGTGGTCCAGAGGCCCAGAGACATACCCAGGAGGTGGGTCATGGTGGGGAAACTGAGGCTCAGTGGAGAAGCCAGTGGCAGGGGGTGTGGCTCAGTGGTAGGGCTTTCGCTTAGCTTGGGTGAGGGGCTGGGTTTCAAACACCAGTATGTTCCCCCCAGCCCCCATCCCTTCCACACACACAGAAGCCAAGTCTCCCCCCACTGCCAGCTTCCCTGGAACAAATTGACTCGGTGCTATTGGAAGCCCCTCCCAGAGATGCATGGGGATTGTGAAAGAATAGCTGGTAGTGATGGAGGACATCACTGCATTATCTGCCTTGGTCTGGATCCTGTGTGTGGTACTTGGGATTGAACTCAGTGCTCTACAAGTTGAGCCATGCTCCTTTTTTTTTCTTTTGGTGGTACTGGGGTTTGAACTCAGGGCCTTGAGCTTGCTAAGCACACACTCTACCACTGGAACTAGCCCAGGATCCATAAAAATATGAACTGTTATGAGCCCCAAATGATAGGTAAGAAAACTGAGGCCCAACTAGGTCAGGTGACTTGTCCCAGATCCCACAGCTAGATAAATGGTAGAGCCAGGATTTTGAATCTAGATCAGATTCCAGAGCCCACATTCTAATTCACCCTGAACTTGAGAACAGGGGGCCTGGCTGGGCTGACCGGATCACTCTGGGTGACCAGTGTCTCTGAGCCTCAGTTTCCTCATTGGTACAGGAAAGGGCTGGATTAAGATGTTCTCAGGATCCCAAGGCCACAGGGAACAGCCTATACAGGGTGTGAAGTTCCCTGCATGGGAATTTTTTCTGTGAAACAGAATTAGTAATTTTCACATGAAAATGAATTGTCCTGGGAGAAGGCAGAGGTGCCTCGAATACTGTCCCATTCCCAGACTCCTTGGGGAGGATACTTGGTGTGCAGGATGTATTCAGGAGCACACTAAGGGGCCAGATGCACAGGAACAGGCCTGGAAGCATCATCTTCATTTCAATGGCTTGTGGAGGGAAGGGAGTTTTATCTCATTGCATTTTAAAAGCTTTTTACTTTGAGATAATAATATGAGACCTTCAGAAAAGTGGCAAAAATAATTCACAGAGTTCCCAAATATCCTCCACTCAGTTCCCACTTATGTTAACACCTTACGTAGCCATAGTACAATGATCAAAACTAAGAACTTGGGGCTGGGAGTAGTGTTATGTCCTTACTGTGATGTTAACCTTGATCACATGATAAAGGTAGTAGGAGAACTGGAGTTTGAACTCAGGGCTTCGTGCTCGCAAAGCATGTACTCTACTGCTTGAGACATACTTCCAGTCCATTTTGCTCTGGTTATTGTTGGAGATGGGGTCCATTGAACTAATTGCCTGGGCTGGTCTCAAACCCTGATCCTCCCGATCTTAGTCTCCCAAGCCACTGGAAGTGGCAAGTTTGTTTTTTTTTTTGAACTGGAGATCTTCCTGCCTGAACCTCCAGAGTCAAGCATGATTACGAGCATTGTGCAGCCCAGCTTGTAAAGTTTGTAATTAATAAATACATTGGGTAAGGTATTTGGAGGCTATGTATATAAATATCTAATTTTCCATAGACACCCACCTTGCCTGGAGCAGTAGACTGTGGCCTAAGGCCGCTTTTCTATTTCTTTATTCCTTTCCACATGTTATAATAAAACAAACATACCTCTGACCAAGGAGCAGAGTGGAAAATTTATATTGATTTCTAAGCCCATACATGCTTCAAACAGGTTCCCTTGTCGTTCCAAGGCCATAGTTGGAGAAGAGAGACTGTGGAGCCAGACAGACCTGAGTTTATTTGTTTGGTTTGGTACTGGGAATTGAACCCAAGGCTTTGCACATGCTAAACAATTACTCTGCCACTGAGCTACACCAGCCCCAGACTGGATTTAAATCCTGGTTCTGTTTCTTACCTGCCTTTTTGCCTTGAAGATTGGCATCACCAGCCTGAGCCTTCCTTTCTCCATCTGTGAAATAGGTAGTAATGCTCACAGCCCTCTATCTCCCTCACCCCCATCCCAGGCCATGATTCAGGATCAGTCAGTATTGTGAAAGGCCAGGAGGCACCCAGGAAGTGGGACCCTGAGGAAGAGGATGAGCAGTGGAGGTCACAGCATGATTGCTGTTAAAATCTGGAGTGCTCTGTGGGAATTGTGAAAAGAGGAAGTCACAGGGCTGGGGATGTAACTCAGTGGGAGAGTATGCTAGGCACATGGTTCTGGTCCTACCCCCAGTACTACACAATAAATTAATAAATAAAAATAAGTAAATATTTCTGGCTTTTCTTGGTACAAAATGAGAAGGGGGAGTGGGTGAGAATGACATGAGTGGCTCACAGTCATGGCTTTGGGTGGGACCCAGGGTTCCCTTTCCAGCCCCACACCCTGGAGCTGCACTGTGCTTCGTGCCAAGCCCAGGCACACACAGTAAACACTGGGCGGCTCTATTGTTAGTCCTGACTTTTTTTTTTTTTTTTGGCAGTACTGAGGCTTAAACTCAGGGCCTTCACCTTGAGCCACTTCACCAGCCCGTTTTTTGTGATGGGTTTTTTCAAGAGAGGGTCTTGAAGAACTATTTGCCCAGACTGGCTTCGAACTGTGATCCTCCTGATCTCTGCCTCCTGAGTAGCTAAGATTATAGGTGTGAGCCAGCAGTCCTGCCCTTTGTAGGCCAGCTTGTGCTACACTGCCTATTTCTCTCCTAAAAGGGCCCTAAGTTTGCATTGGTAGAAAAGACAAGCTTAATCCCTTCAGCCCCTCTCTGCTGGAATCTTAGTTTATAAGTAATTGCTTATCCTTTAGAAGCACTTTAGAAGCACTTTAACTTCTCTGAACCTGGGCTTCCTCATCTGTGAAAGGGATCCAGATCTCCAGTCGCACGGACGTCCAGTAGCACAGCATGGGCTCATGCCTGTCAAACGACAGCAGGCCCCGTGCAAGTGGGTGACTCGGAAGGCAATGGGAATTTCAGGTAGGGCCTGACTCTCTGTCTCTGCCCCAGGACGAAGCTGGTGCTGGAGAACCTGGAAGATGCCTGTGTACTGACTGGGCCAGATGATTCCTTGTGGGACAAGCACGCGTGCCCGGCCTATGTGGGACCTGAGATCCTCAGCTCCAAGGCGTGCTACTCCGGCAAGGCAGCCGATGTCTGGAGCCTGGGTGTGGCGCTCTTCACCATGCTGGCTGGCCACTACCCCTTCCAGGACTCAGAGCCTGCCCTACTCTTTGGCAAGATCCGCCGAGGGGCCTTTGCCCTGCCTGAGGGCCTGTCGGCTCCTGCTCGATGCCTGGTTCAGTGTCTCCTTCGGAGGGAGCCAGGGGAGCGACTCACAGCCAGAGGCATCCTGCTGCACCCCTGGCTGCAGGAGGAGCTGATCCTCTCAGCCCCATCCCAGTCCCACTGCGGGCCGGCTGACCAGGTGGTCCCCAGTGGGCCGGGACTGGAGGAAGCTGAGGAGGAGGAGGAGATGGGTGAAGGGGAGGTGGGTCTTTATGGCTAGGGCCACCCCACTGGACTCTCAGCAGCAAACAGTGGGCCTCCAAGCTTTCTCCTGCCTCTTTGGGATGAACCAAACCTTAAGTGCCTTATGGGAAGGAGAAAGAGGAAGCAAGAGCAAGCGTACTGTGTGCATACCTGTGTTCTCACATACATGTCATGCTTAGCTGCTCCCTGTGTACTGAGCCTGCTCTGGGTGCTGGGAGCACAACAGAGAGCAAGAGAAATGCAACCCCTGGCCCACAGAGCTGAGAAGGTGGCACATGCCCACAAGTCATTGTCTGAGCAGGCACACTTTGTACCAGGGTCAGCCTCCACTTGTACTGTGCCAGGCCCCGCTGTCCACAGGACAGTCACCTTCATCAACACCCCAGCTGCCTTGTATCTCACCTTTTCAAAGAAAGGGAGAGCTCTGTGCCAAAGGATGCAGGCCTGGCCCTGCAGGACTGTAAGCCTCGCTCTAGCCTCCTGTCAAGAGTCTCTTTGGAGCTGGGCACCAATGGCTCAAGCCTATAAACCTGGGAAGCTGAGATCGGGAGGATCAAAGTCTGAGGACAGCCCAGGAAATAATTTGTGAGGCCTCTATCTCCAAAATAACCAGAGCAAAATGGACTGAAAAGGTGTGGCTCAAGTGGTATAGCACCTGCTTTGCAAGCATGAAGCTCTGAGTTTAAACCTCAGCCAACAAAAAAGAAGAAGAATCTCCTTGGGCTGGGGGCACAGCTCAGTGACAGGGCGCTTGCCAAGCTTGCTCAAGATCCACCACTGCAAGAAAACAAAACAACAACAATAAAAAAGTCTCCTTGAAGGTCTACCCAAGGATTTGAGCCCAAAGGATAAGAATCCAACATGAGACCAGTTTTCATCTGACTCCAGGAATGATTTGAAATGAGGGTGCAGCCTGACCAGAGCACCAAGGCTGAGAGGCAGGATGAGGCAGGGTCTGTCTTTTGATCACATGGAGTTTCAGACCTTGTTCTGGGGACAGTCAGGGTCCAGGACTACATTGATACTATGGGCTTGGGATCCTGAGAATATATTTTCACCTTGTGCCTAATAAAAGAGAATATGCGATGCTTTTATTTCTCTGGGAGATTTCTTCTACCTTCTACTGTCTTCTGCCAGTTTTCCCCACCTTCATAAAGAGCCCCTTTCTGGAGGCATGGCTCCAGTGGTAGAGCTCCTGCCTAGCGAGCATGAGGCCCTGAGTTCCAACCCCAAAAAAGGCAAAAAAAAAAAAAAAGGATAAACAGTCTCACAGTGAAGGCCAGACATGTGTCAACCCCAGCTCAGTGGTTTATGAGAACAGATTCCACACAATCCTGCTATCTCCTGCATACTCCCCGTTTCTGAGTGGAGCCTCAGGTGGGATACTTTTCTGAGAATGGGCTGGGGGTGTAGCTCAGTGGTAGAACATTTGCCTAGTATGCTCAAGAGCCTGGTTCCATCCCCAGCGCTAGGAAAAAACAACAAAAAAACCCACAAGTGGCTTAAACAGAAGAAAAAATGCTTTCTTTTCTTTTTTTTTTTTCCCCAAAAGGAAATATATTTCACACAAAGTAAGAAGTCAGTGAATGGGGTGGTCTTTGGAGTGAAATGATTCTCAGAGCTCTTGGCAAGGATGCCCAATCTGCTAGCTCCTTCCATCCTTTGCTCTGTTACCCCTAGAGACAGCTGGCACAATGATGACAGTAGTCACATGTGTTGCTTGAGATGAAGAAGAGTTGCCTTATAGTACTGGAGAACTCAGCACTCTGGAATCTGGTTGCCCAGATTTAAGTCCCACCTCCAGTATTCACTAGCTGTTTGACCTTTGGCAAGATTCTTACCACTCTGTGCCTCTTTGTTTGCGGGGGAGGATAATTGTACGCAACTCATAAGGCCCAAGTGAGTTATTTTATGTCAAGAATTCAGAAGAAGCAGTGCCTGGCATCACAACCCTGCAAGAAGAGTTCATTGCTGTTGTCTTCATAGCACTTTCTTGGGATGGAAGACTTTCTTAGAAGACCTGATAGAGTTCCCCACACATCACAGAACTGGGTCCTGTGGCCTTTTGGGGGCAATCACCAGCAAGGGAAATGTGTCCACACTAATTAAACCTACCAATGGCATACTCTAGTAGCCTTAGCCCCCCATTCCATATGGGTTTCAGAAAGCAGCAAGACAGGATAAGTGCCAATATGCATTCTGTGCTTGTGTCACATTAGCAAATGTCCCACTGGCTAAAGTGTACTACATAGCCAGACTCATAGGCAGAAAAATTAATTCTTTTTTGGTGGGAGTTGTTGATAATGTGTGACCTTTAAAAAAGGCATTGAAAACCAGGCATTGTGGTGTGTGCCTGCACTCCCAGCTGTTGGGAGGCAAAGGCAAGAGGATCACAAGTTCTAGGCCAGCCTGGGAAAAGAAGCAAGTTCCAGGTTAGCCTGGCCTACACAGCAAGACCCTGTTTCAAAAGACAAAAACAAAACAAACGCACACACACACACACACACACACATAAACACACACATACACATGTGTTTGTGCGCATATGTGTGTATGCACATTGGATTACGGCTATAGCTCAGTGGTAAAGCACTTGCCTAGCAGTCACAAGGCCCTGATTTTGCTCTATATTTATACAACATGAAATATACTTGACCAAAGAGGATGACAACTGTGTGCCTTAAACTGGCCCTGATCATTTGCTCCTGCGGAAACTGCTTGGTGCTTTTGGGCCTCCAATTGTTCCCCTTCTCTGTATGTGGCTAAGCCCTGCCCACCACTTGAGGCTGGACTTGGTACTTCTTTTGGCACTTGTCAGAAGTGTCCTGTTCTGCCCTGTGCCTCAAAAATCCCCAGAGCAGGGTTTCTTAAATGTAGCTGGTTGGTGCATCCATTCCCTGGGTGCTTGTTTAAGATACAGAGCCCCCCCCGCCCCCCCACCATAAGATCTGGCGTTTTGCATCTTACAAGCTCCAGGGGTGATGCTGGTGAGAATGCAAGCTGGAGAATTGCTGCTGTATTTGGAGAAATCCCCGCTTCTTGGGAACTCAGAGCACATTAGCTCCTCTCTGGACAGGTATGCTCTATTAGGGCCTTGGGGAAGACTTTGGCTTTTACTTTGAGCAAGAAGAGACTATTTAAGTGGGGGTGACATAAGTTTGATTTACATTTTAACAGCATATTCTGGTTGCTGGGTTGAAATGGACTGGGGTGGGGACAAAAGAAGCAAAGAGCCCAATGAGGAGGCTGGTTCCCGACCCCAAAACAATGAAAATGGAGGTGCAGCGGCGGGATGAGGCATGGAGGCATGTGACTCTTTTAGACCTATTCTGCAGGTGGAACCCACTTGGATGAAGAATGGATGAAAAATTAATAGGGGCAGAAGACTGGGGGACGCAAAGGGCCCCCAGCCTTTGCCAGGCGAATGCAAACTTCACCAACGGATCAATGAAAGGATAGAGGGTGATAGCCTGGTGCGCCAGTGGGCTCAGCCTGCCAAGCTTGGATTCAAATCCCCGGCTTGGGTGGCTGTAGGCAGGTCATAAACCATCAGAGCCTCCGTTTCCTCATCTGCAAACGGAGCCAAAGACCCAGCCTGTCCACCGGTTGGCCGGCAACTTGAGTAATCGCTTGCAGGCCAAGGCCGGCTGGGCGTGGCGCTGGGCTGACCGTCCTATATACTCGCCAGTCTGGTATGCCGGCCGGGTCGGCCCCGCCCCCTTGGTCCAGGCCCCGCCCCCACGCCCCGGCCCCTCCCACTGGGGGGGTAAGGCGAGGCGGGTGAGCTGGGGCCCCGGAGTGGATGGTCAGCTCGCGGGACGAGGGGGGCCGCCGGGATTCGCGGAGGGGCGGGGACACCAGGGAGAGCCCAGGTTCCGGCCGCAGTGTGTGGGCCGACGGGGGTCCGGGATGAGAAGCTAGTGTTCCGGCCCCCCCACTTCCGGGGCCGCCACTTTCACTTTCTCTTCCGCTCCCTTCCCCCTTCGAATGACCTGGGCCTCCCGGGAGCGCAGGGTTTGGGGCGAAGGTCCGGGAGGCCCGGGCGCTCGCTCATGCGGAGGAGTGGGACCCCGGACTCCAAGCTCTCTGCTGTGTGGCGTCAGGCCGTCCCTTCCTGTCCCCACCCCGCTTTCCCGGTTTCCTTTGTCGCCAGTTGCGGGCTTAGCTCGGTGTCCCCTGCGCTCTCCCCATCCCACGCGGGGGTCCGGCCCTTCCCCTGTGCCAGGCCGGGGTACTGGGGAGCGGGTGGTGTGATGCTGCTCGACTAACGCCCGGGACCCCGAGGCACAGAGGGGGCTTGGTTCACGCCAGAGGCCACTGGCCGGGGCTGAGTCGCTCCTGGCCACCCGCTCTCTCCCAGGTGACCCGGAGGTAGCATTTTCTCAGAGCCGCAGCCCGCTTGGGATGGGCGCAGCCTGGCCAGATGGACGAGAAGACCAAGAAAGGTGGGCATAGACTGGTGACGGGAGACTTGGGGAAGTGGACCCCTGCAGGACCTGACCTCGCCTCCCCCCTCTCACCCCCCGCCTGCCCTTTGGTTTTCTTGGGTTGGCCCTGTACTGATGGGCGGAGGACTCCCAGAGGACACAGGGCACCTGGGCTGGTGGGGAGACGGACATCAGTTGACCTCAGTATGGGGGGGGTTCTTGCCTCTTCCCTCAGCCTTCCACTGGCACCCAGCCCAGCACGGTGACGCGCCCATCTCCATGCATTGCCCCCTTGCTCTGTGTGCTGGAGGCCCCCTAGCCTCTTCTGTTCTGATCCACCTATTTCCTGCCCAAGGCCTTTGCCGCTGTTTTCCCCCATGGCGTTCAGCTGCTCCTCTGGCCTCTGTTACTTCTTCCCAGACGCCTTCACTTGCACAAAGAATCACCTTCTCTCCCTCCCCTCACTCCCACCTCCCAAAAATAAACCCTATGCTAACAGCTTGTGCTGTGCTGGTTTCCAGCTGAGGAGATGGCCCTCAGCCTCGCAAGGGCAGTGGCCGGCGGGGATGAACAGGCAGCTATGAAGTATGCCATTTGGCTAGCAGAGCAGCGGGTGCCCCTTCGTGTGCAACTGAAGCGGGAGGTCTCCCCGACACAGGACATCAGGTAAGGAGTGCATGGTTCCTCAGGGACTTAAGGCTCCCTGAACCTTAGTCCACAGCCTATGGAACAGGGCTTTTTTGTTTGTTTTTGCTGGGGATTGAACCTGCAGCCTCTTGATGGTAGATTCTGGTGTCAGGAGACTTGGTGTCAAACCCCAGTTCTGTCACTAATCAATTATGAGATACAGGGCAGGTGTTTCCCGTCTGAGATTGTTTTCTAATTTTTAAAATGAGACAATAAGAGTGGCCATCTCATAGGTGTAGGAGGTGTACCAGGGTATTAGGCAGAAAAAAATCTAGCAGTGATGGCAGGCAGTCCAGACTGGAGTCTCTGCTCTCCATGGCCCTCTGAGGCTCATCTTTCTTCCATCTCATTATTCTGTCACAAAATGCTATTCCAGCTCCAGTCATCACATCAGGAGGAAGGGAAGACTCCTCTTAAGAACATAGATCAGAACTGGGTACCAATGGCTTACGCCTATAATCCTAGCTGCTCAGGAGGCAGAGATCAGGAGGATCGCAGTTTAAAGCCAGCAAAATAGTTTGTGAGACCCTATCTTGAAAAAACCCATCATAAGAAAAGGGTTGGTGGAGTGGCTCAAGCAGTAAGAGTGTCTAGTAACACTGCCTAGCAAGTGTGAGGCCCTGAGTTCAAACCCCAGTGCTGCCAAAAAAAAAAAAAAAAGGAACAAACAAACATAGATCAGGTGATCACATGAAGCTCTGAGTTCAAACCTCAGTTCCACACACACACAAAAAAAAAAACAAAAACAGAGATAAGAAATTGACATACTTCTGCTTAATTTGTATAGACCAGATCTTATTCTTACAACCACACTCAGGTTGAACAGGGTTTGAAATACAGCCAGATATCCAACTAGAATTCTCTTGTGAAGGGAACAAGGAGATACTGTCTGTCTCTGCCCCCAGGAGACTTATGCTTGATGCCAGAATGTTTCGTACAGTGCCTGGCACATGTTAATCACTGAATAAATATTGAGGATTCTTTTGTTGCTGTTGTACTGGGGCTTGAACTCAGGGCCTTCACCTTGAGCCACTCCACCAACCCTATTTTTGTGAAGGGTGTTTTTTGAGATAGGGTCTCATGAACAGTTTCCTGGGCTGGCTTCAAACTGTGATCCTCCTGATCTCTGCCTCCTGGGTAGCTAGGATTACAGGTGTGAGTTACCGGCTCCTGGGAAAGATCCCAAATCTTTTTTTGGTGGTACTGGGGTTTGAACTCAGGATCTCACACTTGCCAGGCAGGTGCTGTACCACTTGAGCCACTCCACCAGCCCCTGAGGATTCTTTTTGTTTTGTTTTTTGTTTTTGTTTTTGGAGACAAGGTCTCACTATGTAGCACAGGCTAGCCTGGAACTTGCTATATAACTCAGGCTGGCTTCGAACTCTGGATGCTCCTGCCTCAACCTCCCTAGTGGTGGGATAACAGGTGTGTGTCACCACTCCCGGCTTTTCCTGACATCTTGATTTTTATTGAAGCTCTCTCAGTCGAGTTCCACCTGAACCCCTAAATTAACTGGTATGTGGTTTCCTCTGAGAAATGTAGTGCTGCACTTAGCTTGACTCTCACATCAGCCAGCACCTTGCTACTCCAAGTGTGGCTCAGGAGTCAGTAATACAGGGAGAATTTTGGCTCAAACCTGAGGCCAGTGTTCTGAGAGGCTCTGAGCAGCAGTTTCATGGGAGACTCCAAAGAGCAGTTTTACACTCAAAACCAATGTCTGTGTACCCAGAAATTGGCCAGAAAATGTGCACTTATAAATTAAAAGCTAGTGCTTGGTCTTTTTTAATATTTTTTGGGGGAGGAAGGAAGCCAGAGAGAGCCTCACACATGCTAAGCACACATTCTAACACTGAGCTACACCCCAGCCAAGAATTTAAGCTGTATTGTAGCATTTCAGGGATTCTCCACTGATCACCAGTGGATAAGGGGTCTCCCACTGTATTTTTTTTTTTTGTTAGTAGTGTTAAGATTATAGCTTTTGGCTCAGTGGTAGAGTACTTGCCTACCATGTGGAAACCTGGATTCCATCCTCATCACAGCAAAAACAAGAAAACAAACAAAACATCCTGTAAGTAAGGCTTTTATGTTGCCTCAACATTGGTTCTAAATATATGAAGCATATAGCACTTTGATTATGGGAAAATTATCCACTATAGAATAAGTAGTGCAATTTGAACCATATGTACTTTCTTCCATTCTCCTGTATCAAATCCAACTTTTCTTTTTCCTTCATCACTGGGGTTGGAGCTCAGGGCTTTGTGCTTGCTAGCCTCTCATTCTGCCTCTTGAGCCATGCCCCCAGTCCTTTTAGCTTTTAGGTTGTTCATCAGATAGGGTCTTGGACTGTGCTCCTCCTACCTTGAGCTTGCAAGGCAGCTCTACTGCTTGAGCCATGCCTCCAGCCCTCTTTTCTGTTTTTTAGACATGATCTTACCATGTAGCCTAGACTGACCTTGAACTCAGATCCTTTTGCCTTAGTCTCATAAGTGCTGGGATTACAGGGGTACCCAGCACATCCACTGCATAGCATTTCTTAATATATCTTAAGTCTCTTTTATTCTCCTCTATATTTATGTCATTAATTTTATTGAAGAACCTGACCTTTTTTTTGCTGGGTGCCGGTGACTCATGCCTGTAATCCTAGCTACTCAGGAGGCAGAGATCAGGAGGGTCGAGGTTTAAAGCCAGCCCAGGCAAATAGTTTGGGTGACCCTATCTCGAAAATACTCATCACAAAAAAGGGGTGGTAAAGTGACTCAAAGTATAGGCCCTGAGTTCAAACTCATTGCCACCAAAAAAAGAAAAACCTGACCTTTTGGCCTCTAGAATTTTCCACATTCTGGATTTATTAACTTGGTCATGGTGTCACTATTTTCCATTTTTTCCCATAATTTATAGTTACATCTACAGGTTCATTTAGTCAGTAGTCACTTTACATTTATTTATTTTTTCTTTGTGCTGCTGGGAATGGAACTTGCCAAGGCTTCTCTGGTGCTAGGCCAGTGCTCTGCCTCCACCACTGAGCCATATTCCTAGCACTAACAATCACTTTTTTTTTGTTTTGATAGTACTGGGATTTGAACTTAGGGCCTTGCACATGCTAGGCAGGTGCTCTACCACTTGAGCCACAGCCCCAGTCCTAGCAGTTACTTTTTAATGCCCAGGAACTCTTCCTTGCCTTCTGATGGCCTCCTCTTGCCCTTGCTTTAAGGATACAGTGCTTTCCCAAATCTCTCTGAAGTACTAGTCAGACTTCATGGATATTCTGTATCCTTATTCTGTTTCCTTGGGGTCGGTTCTATTTTCTCATTTTGGCCTTTCGTTTTCTTGCTTTCGGTCTTCTAAAAATGTTTGAGGATCCTCGAGAAAGTTGATGCTTAAAATATTAGACCAGGGATGCAGCCCAGTGGTGGAGTGCTGGCCTAGCGTGTGCAAGGCCTGAGGTTTGATTCCCAGCACCACACAGAAATGTGACCTTGGAATAGCACTATATGGATTTAAATCCTGCCTCTAGTGGTTTCTGGCTGCTTGCTTTGGCAGTCACTGTAACAGGTATATGTAAACATGGGATACAATGGTTCCTGCCTAGTGGGGTGGTTGAGAGGATTGAATGAGTTAATATCCGCTAAATAACATGCATTGAGTAACGTTGGCACACAGTGAATAACTGCTGCTGGTATTTGGTGAAGGAGCAGAGAGAGAAGAGAGGAGGCTGGAGAGGGGAGGAGTGGCCGCAGAGGCTGTGTGTGCTGCAGTGAGCTGGTTTATTCTAAGAGATGTGAGCCAGCACAGAGGGGTAGTATGCAGTGGTCCCAACAGAGGAGGAAGCACAGATGATGGGAATGCAGGGAGACTCCCCCACCCTGAGGCTGTGTGTGTATATACATCCACTTGTATGCATGCAGACTTGATCATGTCTGTGCCAGTGGCTAGAGCCCTTTCCCGTCCCCCTCCTTGTCTGCAGGCTGTGTGTGAACGTGGAGGATGTCCAGATGCACACCGTCACCATCTGGCTCACAGTGCGCCCAGACATGACTGTGGCCTCCCTCAAGGACATGGTGAGGGAGGAGGCTGAAGTGGTTGGGGGGTGGATTCCTGGTTTGCTTGTGCCTCCTCTTTCTCTCTTCTTCCCTTCCCACTCTCTCTCTTTGGGTGTCCCCATCCCCCAGGTCTTTGTGGACTACGGCTTCCCCCCGATCCTGCAGCAGTGGGTGATTGGGCAACGGCTGGCACGAGACCAGGAGACCCTGCATTCCCATGGGGTGCGGCGGAATGGGAACAGTGCCTTCCTCTACCTGCTGTCAGCCAGCAATACCTCGCTCAATCCTCAGGAGCTGCAGCGCCAGCGGCAGCTGCGGATGCTGGAAGGTGAGATCCTGGCCCAGGCTACAAGGCACGCAGTGGGGCTGGAGCTGGGCTTTCTGTGAGGGACACACTGGAGGGCCCTGTCCCAGTGTGAAAAAGAGGACACTGGATGTTAGGGAGGGAGCGTTTCATGCGAGCAATTTGAGACTAGCTGGCATGGGGGGTTGGGTTCCTCTTTACCAGCTGTGTGATCTTGGGCAAGTTCATTCCTGTCCTGTTCCTCAGTTTTCTATATTTGTAAATTGAGTATGAGGCTAATTATAACTAGTGTTTATTCTAAATTTTTTATTTTTGCAATATTTCAGAGCCAAAGAAAATTAAAGGATTGTCTGAAAAATTGTAAAATGGTGGGCCTTTCACATGGTTCTCCAAATGTTAATATTTTGTCACATTGCTTTGCTTTGTCATTCTTTATATAAAACTATTTTATGAGTCATCTGACTTCCTCTCCCCTAAATTCTTCAGTATGGCTTTCCTTAAAAAGAAAGGTCATTTTTTTTGTGTGGTCACCTACAACTCTCCAACTCAAGAAATTGTCATTAATGTACGCAATCAATCTGATTTTACAAGTAGTCCCACCAGTGACATGCATTCGGCTGTCACCTCAGCCCTTTCTCACCTTGGGTCTCCTCAGTTCTTTGACTCCTGAAGGAACTGGGAAAGATCAGCATCTATCTCCCTTTACCCTCTTCCGCAGATCTGGGCTTCAAGGACCTTACACTGCAGCCACGAGGCCCCCTGGAGCCAGTCCCTGCCAAGCCCGGGGCCCCTCAAGAGCTGGGACGGGGACAGCCAGATGCACCACCAGAGCACCCACCAGTAAGCAACCTCCTCATCTACCCCTGTGCCCTGCCTGCCCAGCCCAGCCTGCTTATCACTCCTCTGCCCTAGGTGGGCTGGCAGTGCCCAGGATGCACCTTCATCAATAAGCCCACGAGGCCTGGCTGTGAGATGTGCTGCCGGGCGCGGCCGGAGACCTACCAGGTGCCGCCTTCATACCAGCCTGATGAGGAGGAGCGAGCGCGCCTGGCCAGCGAGGAGGAGGCACTGCGCCAGTACCAGCAGGTGGGTACGCACGTCCTAGGACAGACACCTGCAGCCTGGACGGTGGAAGCCTAGGCCAGGAAGGGAGCCACCTGTACCTGCCACACCTCCCTGCCACTGCCTTGGCTCCTCATGAGTACACCGCTAACCATGACCATGCACTTGAGTGAGAGTTGCTCTCGCTGAGGTCACCTTGTGCCTGAGGCTCCTCCTGGGTGTGATGCATATCCAGACTCCTTTACTTACTGTGACCCCTTATGGGCTGTGGCTCTGGCCCTGGTTTTGACCCTCTCCCCACCATACAGACAAGTATCTTGACTGTGACTTAAACCCTGTGACCTTGACCATCAGCTCAGACTTCACCCTGTCACCTGGGACCCAGCCATGACCTTATCCTGGAACCTATTTCTGCCCCACTGCCTTTGGCATGGCCCACCCCTGCCTTCTTGTGACCCTGGCCCCTCACTGCTCCCTTGGCGGGGGGTGACTCCAGCTTCACATTGGTGACACTAGCACCTCACAGTGGTGACACAGTACTCCATCCTGAGTGTTACGGCTCTGAAGACGTGCCCCCACACCCACTGGCATTTCCCTTGAACCCAAACAGTGCCTGCCTCACCCTGGCCATGACCCCATGCCTAGTCCCATCTGTGGCCTTGCTCTGCTCCCGGCTTCGTCCCTCCCTATCTGTGATCTTGACCCAATGCCACCACCCCTCCACCTGCTCCGCCACCCTGACTTGTCACTCAGACCTTGACCTTTCCTTTCCCACCGCTATTGCCCTTGCATAGCCCTGACCATCCTGCAGCCCCATCCTGGCCCACTGCCTCTTGGCCTCCCCACCTGCTGGCCAGCTTTTTTTGCTTGGCTGGGCCCCCTGCTTCCACCCCCAGCTCTCCCCTGCCTCCTGTTTGACCACCCCTAACCTTGACTGGCCCCGTGGCCCCGCCCATGTGCCCAGCGGAAGCAGCAGCAGCAGGAGGGGAACTACCTGCAGCATGTCCAGCTGGATCAGAGGAGCCTGGTGCTGAACACGGAGCCCGCTGAGTGCCCCGTGTGCTACTCGGTGTTGGCGCCCGGTGAGGCCGTGGTGCTGCGTGAGTGTCTGCACACCTTCTGCAGGTGCGGCTCCCACCCCCACCCCAGCAGTGCCGCACTTATCAAAGCCCAAAGTGAAAGTGGGTGGGGCCTTGAGCTCTTACATCTTACTGGACGCCCACAAAAACTGCGAGGTAGGCTCTGTCTCCCCAATTGCAGATGAGGAAGGGGAGGTGCAGAGAGGCCAAGCAACTTACCCAAGGCTGCACAGCTCATGACAGAAGCCCAGAAATGAATCTTGGCATTCTGGCTCCAGAACCTCCACCCTCACTCTACCCCTTACTGCTCTGGCCTGTGTAAGCACATTGGGACCCCAGCCCTGTCAGGCCTGCACCCACCTGCCTTCTGCTGCTGAATAGTGCCCCACTCTGAGTCTCCTGTTGGGGGCTTTTTCTGACTCTGAGCTGAGAAAATGTGCCTGTTCACCATAGCAGACATTAGTGGGGCTGTTCTGGGTGCCAGATTCCCTTCCTGCCTCCTGGAGATGGCTTATACTGTCCATGGTGTTACAAGCTAAGTAACAGTGCGTTATGAGTCTTGCCCAGGGAGGGGGTCACACTGGAGCGGGGGTAGGAAGGTGCGGCCTATTTGAGGAGACCAGGGAAGTCTCTTCTGGGTGGGACAGGAGGCCCTGGGAAGGGACCAGCTACAGTGCGGAGAGTGGACTCCAGGGGCGAGGGGGAGGTGGGAGGCCAGTAAGGAGGCTGCTACAGTCACCCGGGGCTGGGGTGATGGGGGCCTGGACAGAGCAGCAGGGTGGACAGTAGCTAGGCCTTGTTTGGCCCAGAGGGATGTGAGGGGAGGACCCTGCTCAGGCCCTGCCAGGTGGGGTGGAGTCCCCTGAGCCTAAGTCCACTCTCCCGTCCCCAGGGACTGCCTTCAGGGCACCATCCGCAACAGCCGGGAGGCGGAGGTCTCCTGCCCTTTCATCGACAACACCTACTCGTGCCCTGGCAAACTGCTGGAGAGGGAGATCCGGGCGGTAAGGCTGGGGAGGGGAGGGGTCTACAGACAGGGAGCACGGGGCTCCCACAGCGGACACTACAGAGGACAGCCTGGGCCAAGCAGGGCAAGACTGAGGGAAGTAGCTAAAACTTACTAGCTACTTTAAATTTCCCTTTATGAAGGAAGGACAAAATAGTTAGGGTAGGGAAACCCTGGTCATGGATGACCTGGACACTGTGACCTCCAGTCAGACACTCAACTTCTGTTTTCTCCATCAGGGCCAAAGTTGCAGTTTCTGTTTCAAGAGTTGCAAAGTAACCTGCTTTCTAGAGTAGTAAGCAGGGCATGGTGATACATGCTTGTAATCCCAGCTCTTGGGAGGCTAAGGCAGAAGGATTGAAAGTCTGAGGCTAGCCTGGGCTACATAGCAATTCCCTGTCTCATTAGGAAAAAAAAAAAAAAAAAAAGGACACATAGTAAGCCCTTGTATCAGTTAGCTTTTGCTGTGTAATAAGTCACTCTAATGTCAGTGGCTTAAGATAGCTTAGCTCGTGAATTGTAAGTTAGGCATTCCTGTCGGGCCTCCCTGGGTGGTGTCCAGGTCCGGGCTGAACCTGGCTGGTGTCATCTGAGCTTAGCAGTGGTAGATGTGCTGGGCTGGTTCACCATTGTCTCACTGGGCCAGCTGGAGCCTCTTTCCACTTTGACCAGAACCTGCTCATGTGGCAATGGTCTGTGGGTTCCTGTAGGGCAGTCCCACAGGAATGCTTTCCAAGTGTGCTCTGTCCATCCCATTAGCCAAGGCAAGGCCCGCAGTCAAGCCCAGAGTCCCTGTGGGAGGAGCAGGAGTCTGTGGTGCTATGCCTCTGCCTGTGTGTGCCTTTGAGCCTCCCTGTGGTCCAGCTCCCTCTGACTGCTGATGGGCACCTGAAACATATCCGCTCCCTTCTCTGGGTCTATTTCCCCATCCATATGTGCACTGTCGGACCTGAATCTAGGACTTCATAAATTGCTGAAAAATGGCCTTTCCGAACAGGGCCAGAGGTGACCAGGACCAGAAGGGAGACCCCCAGACAGACACACAAGACCCCTGTCTCTTCCCATCTTGCCTCTCTTCACTGAGCCTGTTTCTTCTGACCTTCCCCATGTGTTTTCTGGAGGCCAAGGGATTTGGCCTGGAGGAAGAGGGGAAGCTGTTGTGGTAGAACTTGGGCAAGGTCTACCCCTTACATCAGAGTGGCCCCACTTTTGTTTTTTTTTTCATGGTGCTAGGGATTGAACCCAGGACCTGGTGCATGCCAGGCAGGTGCTATACCTCTGAGCTACATTGCCAGCCCCCAGAGCAGCCCCACTTCCATCTGGTCCCTGGGGCTTCTGAGTAGGGCAGGTCCTGCTTTGCTGAGGGGTCCTCGCTGTGGCCTTTGGAGACCCCAAGGCAGTCTTTTCATCTGTCCCCAGCTCCCATAGTCACTGGCCTTAGCTTCACCCAGTGAAGGCCCCCCTGTTAAGGGCTCTGCCCTGGGATGGGGCCAGTGTGAACACTAAGGGACTGCAGAGCCCCGTGGAAGCCATTGGAGCTGACCCACACCTTAGAGCAAGGTTAAGTGAGAGGGAGAAGAGAGGAGAGAGAGACTGATGGAGAGAAGCAGGGATCAGCAGACTAATGCAGTAGAGGTGGCTTTTATAAAAACAGTAGCAGCAAAAAACACTTAAACCACAGAAAATCAGAGCGAAATCTGAGAAAATCACCTACAGCCCATGATCCTCTGAATTGTATTTTGACCTGCCTCCCTCAGTGTTTCTAGGTCAATGCCATGCACCCATTGTTGAGTGTGCAGACAGATGAGTTTTGACAAGTATGTCTTATGACCCCTGCCCAGTCAAGACACAGAACAAAGGCCTGACGTTTGCCTCACGGTGGCCTGCACAGCTATACCACTTTTGCTGTTGTGTACAGAATCTGGAGCGATCCCTTCAAATCTCTGGCCTACATCCTGTCTATGCGTCTTGGTAGTTAGTACCTAACTGCTCGTGGTGCCTCCTCTCATGTCTTATTTTCTTAGGATAAACTTGTGGAGGGTGGGATGGTAGAAACATTGCTGCCACATTGCGTTCGCAGGGGGTGGTGCACAGATGCTAATTTAAGCACATTGTCCCATCATTGCTTATTATGATTTCTGTCCATTTTCCTCTTTTTTTTTTTTTTGGTGGGACTGGAGTCTGACCTCAGGGCTTTGCACTTGCAAAGCAGGCACTCTATCAACTTGAGCCACCCTTCAGTCCATTTTGCTCTGGTTATTTTGGAGATGGGATCTCATAAACTGTTTGCCCGGCTGACTTGGAACCATGAACTCAGCCTCCTAAGTAGCTAGGATTACAGGTGTGAGCCCCCTGCACCTGGCCTTCCTGATTTGTTTTTGAGGTAGAGTCTTGCTGCTTTTTGCCAGGGCTGGCCTCAAACCATGTCCTCCTCTGGAGTAGCTGGGATTACAGGGCCACCCACATACAGTTCTGACACATTAAGTGCCTTTGCACTGCTGAGCAGCCACCGCCACCCTCTGTCTTCCGGTCTTGGTTTAGCCTTTCTGGCAGTGCTGGAAATTGAACTCAGGGCCTTGCCACTGGTCTACAACTTGAGCCATGCCTTCAGCCTTGCTTAAGGGTTGGATGAAGGCAGAGCTTTGGACTACAGTAGAGTTGAAGGGTTGGGGGGTGTAATGAAGACCTCTGTGGGGGTCTGAGTGACCAGGGTGTGTCTGGCAGCTTCTGCCCCCTGAGGACTACCAGCGCTTCCTGGACCTGAGCGTCTCCCTCGCGGAGACCCGCAGCGCTTTCAGCTACCACTGCAAGACCCCTGACTGCAAGGGCTGGTGCTTCTTTGAGGACGATGTCAATGAGTTCACCTGCCCCGTGTGCTTCCACGTCAACTGTCTGCTCTGCAAGGTGGGAACAGACTTCCATGCTGCCTAGTCACCTGCATCCAGCAGGGCTTACTGCAGTTCCATGCTTGGGAAGGGAGCCATGACCCAGAGCTGTACGTCAGTGAGAACCTGGTTCTCGCCCAGAAACCGAGCCCCAGCCCTAGACAGGCCTGGCTCATTACAGAGCACTAACCCCAGCCCCAGCCTGAGCCATGAATCTGGACTGAGTCTTAGCCCTGGGCTCAGTTCAACTCTGGCCTCAGTCACAGACAGTCTTGATCCCATACTGAGGCCTTGACCTCATCCATATCCCAAACTGATTCCAAGTTCTGGTCTGAGCCCAGCCTCTGCACTGAGTCAGCCACTGTGGCCTGACCCTGACCTAAGCCTCACCCTGGCCACAGACCATGTCTCAGCCCGTCCTGAGCTGAGTTCTGACCTGAGACCTGGATTGAGTCCTGCCTAATTCTCCCCAGGCCTTCCTGCCCCTCCCCTCAGAAGCCACCAGTTAAGGTGTGGAGTAGGTGAACAGGCCTGGAGCCCTAGCTCACCTCAGCCTGGGTAAGCTCAGCCCCTGAGTGCTGCGCCTGGAATGGGCAGAACCGAGGCTGGGCCCTAGGGGTCACTACCTGGTGAGAGCTGCTTTAAGATTTCCACGTCCATCAGGACTTGCAACAGAGAAGAATATGCGATCACGATCCTGTTGACAACCCTGGCTCCACCTACCTAGCTGCCACATCCTCTTCTGTAAGATGAGTGTAGCTTACGGAGCTAGACTCTGCCGCTGATGACGTCCTACATCAAATACTGGTGTTCAGCCAGCACTTGGGAGGCTGAGGCAGGAAGATCATGAGTTCAAGGCCAGCCTGGGTTATATAGCAAGCATCTGTCTCAAAACAAACAAACTCGTGGCCATGCCTGCTCTGCCCCTCTCCCATCCCAGCTTCTTGAGCCCCTGGGGAGCCTTCTCACCTGGAGCCCTCATCCCTGCAGGCCATCCACGAACACATGAACTGCAAGGAGTATCAGGACGACCTGGCCCTGCGGGCTCAGAATGATGTAGCTGCCCGGCAGACAACTGAGATGCTCAGGGTGAGGCAGGGTCAAGTGAGGACCTGGGGATTTGAGTTCTGGGAGCTTCTTAGAAAGGGCTGAGTTCATCCATCCATGGATGCATGGGCCTCTCTTCAGGCCACACTCCTAGCCACAGATGGGCCTTCGGCTAGGTGGGAGGAGGGTCTGCTTGGTGGGACAAAGAGGCAGCTGGACAAGCCTGATCCAGCTGAGGAGCCTAGAAAGGGAGCACCCCTCTCGCTGGAGGTAGGCCAGCTTATCACCTGCCTGCCCCACCCTAGGTGATGCTGCAGCAGGGCGAGGCCATGCATTGCCCACAGTGCCGGATCGTGGTGCAGAAGAAGGATGGCTGTGACTGGATCCGCTGCACTGTCTGCCACACTGAGATCTGCTGGGTCACCAAGGGCCCACGCTGGGGCCCTGGGGTGAGTCCCCTGGGGAGCAGAGGGCTGGTGCCCATGTGCAATCAGCTGGACGGAGCTTGGAAAACTACAGGGTCACTTCCTGTATTGTACAGCTTGTGAGCTAAGGATATTTTTACATCTTTAAATGGTTTAAAACTTATCAAAAGGCTGTAATATTTCATGACATGTGAAAATGATAATCCAAGTTCAAGTGTCTGTTGGAGCCCGCCATGCCCACTCATTTACCTCCTGTCTGTATTCTCTCTGCAGAGGTTGAAGGTGTGAGGCTTGTGGGCAGGGTTTGCCCACTCTGCCCAAGGGGACAGTGGGAAAGGTTTAGTCTGGAGTCAGTTGCCTCTCAGCCTTCTTTCTCCCTGAAATAGGGACAGTGGCAGGGCTTCTTGTCAGAATCAACTGAAAAAATGCAGAAGTCCTCATCTGAGTGTGCACTCAGCAAATGGCAGCTGTTGTTACTGGTGTGCTGTGGGAATGGGGCTCCTGGTCCATCCCAGTGGTCTGAAACAGGTGGAAGTGAAGGGAGCCCCTGCACTGACCATGCAGAACACAGTTACAGCTCCTCCCCAGCCTGCTCTTAGGAGGGTAGACTGAGACCATGCAGTGGGGTCAGGGCATTGTAGGGGCCCAGAAAGGCCTCCATGACCACTTCCACAGGAGACCTGTGGGGCCATGGTGCAGGGTAACAGGTGTGCTTGGCCTTGGGCTGATGGAGTGGCGTAAGGGGCAGACTGTCTTCACCACCCTGACATCCTTTTCTCTCCCTCTGTCCTCTAGGGCCCAGGGGACACCAGTGGGGGCTGCCGCTGCCGGGTCAATGGGATTCCTTGCCATCCCAGCTGTCAGAACTGCCACTGAGACAGAGATGGCTAGTCCCCATGCTGACCCAGCCTCATGTCTATAGGCAGTTGTTGGGCAGGTCTGGGCCTGGGGCTTTGGCTCTTGATTTCTGGCCTGTGGGAGGCCTTTGTGCTTGGCTGAGGCAAAGCATAGGCATTACAATGACCCCACCCGAACCAGCTGTTGTCCAGTCACATCTGCTCCAGTGCCTTTGCCCTTCTCCTGGGGCTTGCCAGGCCAGATGTATCATTGCTTCTGGCAGCTCCCACCTCTGCCCAGTGTCAGCCTTAAACACAGCCCCTGGCCAGAGGCTTCACTGGCTGGAACTTCTGAGTGACTCCATTCTCACCCTCATCACCCTCACCCCTGGACACTGAGCACCGCAGCCTCCCCCATTCCCCTGCCAGCTTTCTGGGTGACTGCTCTGCTGTTGCTGTCAGAGGCCTGGTGCCTCTTGGGGCTGCTTGAACCTGTTCAGAGCCAGAAAGAGAGTGGTAGGGCCTCACTCTGCCTCTCCCTGTCACTGTGTAAGGGAATTAAAATGGCTTTCCAGGAAGGGGTGTGTGTGATGTCCTTGAGAAAGAGTGACTGTCATGACCTGGGGCTCTACTCACAGGCACAATGTCAGGAAAGTGATCTGTTGACCTTTTTAGTGGTAGGGTAAGGCTATGACTGAGCTCTGGGATCCCTATAGACCTGGCACCCCTGGGCCCAATTTCAGGGGCAAGGACACTCTCCAGCCAGTGTTAGGTGGGACAGGTAGAGTTTGCAGGGCATCAGGTCTGCAGAGCCGGGTGTGTGGGAGGGAGGTTGGTGGGAAAGTCCCACTGTTCCCTTTTGCCCTCTTGGTGGGCATCCAGAGTGAGGACCAGAGCTACCTCAGGAACAGTCGAGGTTGCTGCTATGGAGTGAGGAGGCCTGTCATGCTCAACGTATCAGTCAAGACATAAGTGTTGACCTAGGAATTTTGTTAGTGCTCACTGCTGGGCAGATTAGTGAAGTACTGGACTCGGTGTCCATTCTGTGTGCTTTTCTTCTACCCTGTCACCCTACTGAGAGCTAGTATTTGATGCCCAACACATGGTCTGCCCACAATGTGATTCTTACAGCAGGCCAAGGCACCTCTGCTGTTCAAGGCCTCACTCCAGGCTCCATGATGGGCTGGTGGTTTTTGGGGGGACAGGTTTATTCTAGCCCCTGGCACTGCCACCCTGTTGTTGAATGCTCAGACTGAAGAGTTGATTCAGGGCCATCAAGAAGTAGCTCAAGCAGTAAGAGCGCCTGCCTAGCAAGTGTGAGGCCCTCAGCTCAAACCCCAGTGCCCCCCCCAAATAAAATAAAAAATGTTTAAGCTAAACACCAGTGTCTCATGTCTGTAATCCTAGCTACTCAGGAGGCAGAGATCAGGAAGATCATGGTTCAAAGCCAGCCTGGGCAAATAGTTCGTGAGACCCTATCTTGAAAAAACCCATCACAAAAAGGGCTGGTGGAGTGACCCAAGGTGTAGACTCTGAGTTCAAACCCCAGTACCACAAAAAAGGAAAACAAGAGTTGGCCCAGGCACTGTGAGTAGAGGCAGCAGAGAATGTGTGAGAGGACCAATTGCCTTCAGCTCCAGTGTGGGCACAGGCAAGGGCATTAACTGGAGGGCATAGTTGGGGAATCCCAGCCCTGGGAGGGGCGTTGGGCAGCGCTATTTCCAGCTGGTGTCCTGTTGGCTGTCCAAGCCCCAGGCCTCCTGGGCTTTGCTGTTCCACAACCCCACGTTTTAGTCAGCTGTTATTTTTATGCAGGCTATTTTCTCCTCAGCCTTGCACATTGTGTGGGGTTTTCTAACACCAACCAGGCATCCAGTAATTCAACTCTGAAACTACCTGGAGTCAGTGTAAGGTTCCACATGCTAAACAGCTCAATCGCAAAGGCTGTTGCTTTTGGATGTAGTATGGAGTGCCCATACTACGTACACTTGTGCCTGTCCAAGGGCAAATTCAGGGGCTCCAATGATACCCCTCCCTCAGGCTCAGTAATTTGTTGAAACAACTCACAGACACTGGATTTAGCTTCACCAGTGTATTACATAGGATATGCGGAAGCAACCAGGTGGGCAAGGTAGGCCTTCCATGTTTTGTTTGTCTCTCCCCCAGCAGGTGACAGCTCCATCTCCAGGGCCCTCACCCCAGAAGGTCAATTTGACTATCTGGTCTTTCTGGTGACCAGCCCCATCCTGAGGCCATCCCACCTGAAAGTCCTACCTAAGTCACCTCGTTAGCATGAACTCAGGTGGGATCAGAAGGATCACTGACAACACACTCCTGGATCTTCCACTCCTTGAGAATTCCAAATTTTGCACACCACTGACATTTAGCAGTGACAGTACCCCACAGCAGCTGCAGTGTACAGGCCAGGTGAAACAAAATGACTGTAGGGATTGCCCCAGGTCTCCTGGCAAGTCAAGGTCAACCAGGTATCCATGGACCACCGCGTGGGCCTGGGAAGGTGGGCATATCAAGGCTTGGCAAATGAATGACAGGTGCTTAGTATCACATATGGCTCTTTATTTCATACAGGGCTCTGTACAAAATATTTACATGTATTCTTTACAGAACAAGTAAATTACCTGAAGGAAATGGATAATGCTTTCTTCTTAGTGGCAGGGGAGAATCCTGGTGTGAGCAAACCACAGAAAAAACTCTTCTCCTTAGGCCACAGCACAAGCATCACCTGCTTCCTGGGATCCAGAGTCATGGCTTCGGGACCCTGGCACCACCTCCTCCCTTCTTGCCATCATCTTCTGCTCATGTCCAAGCAGGCTTGAGGGTTTGTGGCTGGAGGTACAGACACTGCTGCCATCCATTTGCACAGAGGACAAGAGAACAAACTTGCCAAGGGAGAAGACTGGGAATGTCTGCCGCCTTGCCATCTCTGAGTCATGGGAGAATTTTCCTTTGTCCTGATGAATCTGCCACTTTCAAATTAATCCAGATACATTGCACTTACCCTAGGCAGGGTGAATGACCTAGGCATGGAGAATGACCCACCCCTGTGGGCTTGTTTTGGTTTTAAAGTGCTTAGTATAACTCAGCAGACGCCTGTCTCAAGTGCTCTGGCCTGGCGGCTGCCCGCACAGTGGGTGTTCAAGGAGAATGTGTCAGTCTGGACACAGTGGGGGGCTTCTAGCATGTTCACTTTAAGAAATCACCTGCTGAGAGAGAACAGTGCCCAGGAAAGACCAGGAAAATGAAAGCACATGGCTGCTTCATACTGCATACTCGATTCTTCAAAGCAGCAAAAGGCACTTTTTTTTTCAAGCCAGAGCTGATGTGAAATCAACCTGGCTTTGCTTACAGGAACACTGTCCCAAAAGGAATGCGTGTCCTTTGTTCCCGAGGTCTGAGGGTCCATGGAAAAGCCTAGGGCAGGGCTGGCTGTTGGGGCTCCTGCCAAGCTCTTCAGGCTACAGTCTGCCCTTTTCTGGGTGCCGGCAGGTTTCCAATGCATTTCCAACTAGGCAGAGACCAGCAGTTAGGAGACAAACCCAAAAACCATGCCAAGGCAGCTGGGAGTAGAGGGGAGTTTGCAGAAATGGGAAGGAAGGAAGGAAAGCAGGTCAGGAGGGGACACTTTAGAAGTGCAGGACTGTTTACAAACAGCAACTCTGGCTAAAGTGAAATTTGGAACAACTGCGTAGAAAGGTAACTTCAGGATCTCATAAGCTCACCCTTCTGATGAGAACCATTTTTTCCATGAAGGAACTATTATTTTTAAAGTGAGAATACTTTACATGTTAGGTGTATATAATTCTAAAAATAGTAATAAAAGTGCCTTTTATAAGTAATGTCACGTGGCTTGTAGAGAAGCAGGTGGAAAAAAAGGCAGGTGAAACCAGTTTAGGTGACTAAGACTGCTTCGCTGGGCTGGGAATACCCTTGTGATTTCCAGGCTGAAAATAGGTAGGATTTAACTAGTAACCTAGTTCACATCTGGCTCTCTGGGTCTGACCAGCTAGCGGAGCCACTCTTAAAAGGACCCACCTGGCTCCCAGGCTACTGTCTCTTGCTTTCCTTCCAAGGCTTGACCTCTTCAGCAGCAGCCTCTTCCTTCCTTGTCCATCTGAAGCAGACAGAATGAGGCACTGGGAGCAGGAAATGCTTACTTTCTACAGGGTAGCCAGGAGGTACCCCGACAGCCAGGGAAGCCCAGGCCCAGAAGTTCCCCAACACGGGGAGGCAGGAGAGTGCTGTGCCAGGTCCCGGAGCCCGCAGTGTTGGGCTGCCTCTGCTATAGCCTCCCAAGCCAAGGCAAACAGACAGGCAGGCAAGGGTGGCAGGAACAGAACACCCGACAGAAACCCATTCAGTTACGGCAGTTTCACCCTCCCCGTCCTTCCAGAGGGCGAAACCTTGCTGCACTGGGCAGATTCAGGGGAACAGCTGTAGCTGAAACTTGGGGGTCCATTCCAGGGCACTTTTCACCACTGCCAGCGCTGCAGCCCCCAGTGCCACCGTCAGCCCCATTACTGCCAGATTCACAAAGCGGCTGGTCCTTGGTTTGGTCAGGACATCTTGTGTTCGAGCCTCAGGCCGCAGAAGTCCCCGAGACCGCTGCCGCAGCACCATGTCTGGCCTCTGCTGGGCTGATGCCAGCTCAAAGTCTTCGAAGGTAGAGGCTGCTGTTCTGTGTGGGAGAGCGAGAAAGAAGGTGTGGTGGATAAGGAGAAGAGCTGGAGGGAGCAGCTCTGCTAGGTGGGCTGCAGGCCGAGCATTTTCCCACTGCTCAGGAAACTTCTCTAGACAAAGACCCATGGAGGCTAGGGACGGACTCCACCTCACAGTGTAGATCTGTGGCATCATCCCCAGCCCTGTCCCACCAGACACAGGTCCCCCTCACTTCTGCTCGTTACACCACCCAGCTCCACGTGGGCCTCAGCCCCTAACCTCTCGGCTTGCTGCTGGGCGGCTGCCTCACGTGCGAGTTCCGAAGGGGGAAACTGAACAAAGAGGTCTCCTGCTCTGCTGATGAGCGTCTCATAGGGAAGGTCCTGAGGGATCTGGGACAACAGGTGGTGGACTGAAGCCATGTCACAGTCACAGTCCAGAACTTCCTGCTCACGATACAACACGATCTGTGGGGAGTAAGGCCTTACATCAGAGACTACACACAAGGGGCCACTTGCCTTTTGTTCTCCACAGAGACGAGTTTAAGCTGGCAACAGTCAGAGCTCAGCCCAAATGGTTAGCAAACTGTCCAATGAGGAGGGAGTAAGGCACACATTTTCTGTGCTGATCCTATGGCTGACCCCTCCTGCTACAGGCAAACTTCCACTATGATGTGAAAGACTAACTTGGTACAGTAGGTCCTTCCAGGCACATTTGTCTGCTCAAGTGTCCCTCAAAGTCATAAAAGAAATGAAGGAGTGTGTTAGGAAGAAGAGAAGGAGAGGGATCCCTAACCCTACTCCTAACTCTAGAGAGAGCTTACTAGAAGATTCTTGAAGCTCCAGCAGAAAAGAAATGGTTCAAAACAGTGCAAAGAATGGTCCTGCTCTCGCTAAAAATCTTCCTTTTGACTGCTGGTCCACAAATCCACAGCTGAAGGGACCATGAAGAACTTCCTGGGGCCAACACTCCAAGACATCACTAAGGCCCTTCTGATAATGGAGCCCCACCCGCTACCGCAGGCCACCTCCCTTCTCTAGCTGAATGCCAGGTCTCTGCTTCCCTTAAATCTGATGCTGATGGTGGTACCAACACTATTGACTGTCCCTAGTGGTGTTACCAGGTGAACAGCTCCAGGAGGTGTCAGGACACTGACAACTTACAATGATTGGGAAGAGTCTCACAGTAAAATCTGGTTATCTAGTATTTACCAACTTTTTTCATGACGCCCCCACTAATATCACACAGAATGAGTCAAGGGATACCAGACTGAGAAATGCTGTCTTTTGCAGGTTTCCATAATCACTGCCTTCCCTTCAGGGATCTAATCAAGCCAGAATGGGTGATGGCAAACCCAGTCACTGGCTCATAAGCAGGTACCTACCACAGCTGCAAAGTAAATGGGCATCAGTGGGTGGCAGGCCAGGAAGAAGTCATATAACCGCACAACGTGCCTTAAGTCTGACAGGACATGTCCAAACCAGGTGATGAGCCAGCTGAGGGCAAAGATGGTCCCCACTTCAGCACTAGGAGAAAAGGAAATCTATGTTAGGTTCCCTGCTGGGCAATCCCTGCCCTCTCTGGGCCTTCTTGGTCCTCAGAAGAAAGAAGCATTTAGAAAATATATCTCCTGAAACTGCCACCTAGGAATTTACCACCTTCTCCTCACAAAATATATAGTATTTGAAATGTATTATGAGCTCAGGAGTAGAGCATCTGCCCAGCAAGCACAAAGCCCTGTTTGATCCCCAGCACCACAAAATAAATAACATATTCTCATCTCACTAGGTGTGCTCTCCTAATGCTCAACAAGTGTCAACTACAGGATAAGGAGGAGATGTTTGCAGATGTTTGCCATATCTTATTCTTTTTGAGGGCCTAGGCATATATTCTCAGGCTTAAAACACAACTGAGCCAGGCATCAGTGGCTCATGCCAGTAATCCTAGCTACTCAGGAGGCAGAAATCAGGAGGATCGAGGTTCCAAGCCAGACCAGCAAACAGTTTGCAAGACCCTATCTCGAAAAAAAAAAAAAAAGAAAAACCATCACAAAAAGGACTGGCAGACTGGCTCAAGGGTAGACCCTGAGTTCAAACCCCAGTACCACAAACAAACAAACAAAAAAAACTAAACTGCCCACGGATGGTCTTGTCCTTTCCTCCTCTGATTCCTCTAGGACTCTAATTGTTGGGGCAAAACTTCAAAGTCTATGTTGGCATACTTAGCCACCACACCCCGCCAAATGTAAACTCCTCGAGTCATGGGCTGTGTCATCTTTGAGACTCAAAACAGTACAGTACCAAAAAAGTGCCCTAAGATTGTGTACAGAACTGATTTATTCAGATCTTAAGTGACTAGAAAGGAGAGCTTGAAGCAACTTAACACTAATCAACATAAGATGATGATGAAACTGAGCTAGACTGGTAAGGAAGCAATAAAAGGTCGGAGAGCCAGGTGAAGGGTGTGTGCATGCATACACACACATACCTTTGCATGAAGTCATGGAGCTCTGGATTCACCTGGTCAATGATGGGCATCAGATAGCTTAATATGTGCTTGGTGTTGTCCATTGTAGGATCCATGAAATCCCTAGAGGGAAATGATCAATGAGTGCGGTCAGGCCTGGTGGGTGGAGTTGGCTCAAACCAATCAAGCACCTGACTAGAGAATGGGCCATAGCTTGCCTAACTTCTTATGTACCTGAGGTGGTGGGTAGACAACTTTTCAACCAGAGATACTGCCAGCCTCTCGCCCACCACCAGCAGGAAGGTAACCACGATGTCATGGTAGCCCTGGTAGTAGTGCAGCTGAGGATTGCGCTCCAAGATCACCAGGATGATGTCAATCAGCTCCTCCTGGAGCCCCTCTCGCTGCTCATCTGGCATGCCTGGGGAAAAGGGGAGAAGTGCAGTTGAGCATTCTAGTGACAAGGAAGTTAGGAGGAGACCAGAAGTGGGTTCCCAGAGACAGTGTCCAGTAGGAGAAAACAAATTACAAACAAGGTAAGAACATCATGCAAGATCTGCACACTACTGATCCCACCTGGCACAAGGAAAGAACCACGACATCAACTTCACAGGGGGGACCTCTGGCAACACCTTCTTAACCAAGTCTTACAGTAAGTGTCACAATTATGGGACTAGGGGAAATCAGGAGGGGCCCCTTGAAGTGACGTGCTGTCAGGAGCGCTATGCCATGTCGTGCATAACCCTGAATCTCCTGAGGCAACACCAGACAAACCCAAAGTAAGGGACACTTAGCAGAGCAATTGCTCAGCCATAAAATACAAAGGAACTGTTACAGATTAAAGGAGACTAAAGAGAGATAATTATCAGGAGTGGTGCTATACTTGGGAGAATGAGTCAGGAGCCTATGCTACATAGTGAGATCCTGTCTCAAAAAAAGAACAAAAACAATGGTTGGGTGTGGTGGTTCACACCTGTAAGCCCAGTTACTTAGAAAGTGGAGATTGGGATGATCGAGGTTCAAGGCCAGTCTGGGCAAAAAAAATTAGTGAGACCCCATCTCAACCGAAAAGCCAAGTGTGGTGGTGAACAACTGTAATACCAGCTATGTGGAGGCACAGGTCAGACTGCAGACTGAGGCCAGCCCCAGCCAAAAGTGTGAGACCCTATCTGAAAAATAACTAAATACAAATGGCTGGGGTATGGCTCAAGTGGTACAGCAACTGCCTAGCAAGCACAAGGTACTGAGTTCAAACCTAGTACTGCTGAACACACACACACACACACACACACACAACCCAAAAACAAAACTGGAGAGAGAGAAAGTATATGTGTTAGTCAGCGACTGAATGGGAAATGCATGAAATTCTATTTCCCTTTCACATGAAGGCCATTAGGGTAAAAGGTGGATTCAGAATCATTTTACAGATTAGGTGACAATTTATTGTCACTGATTTTGATAGGTGTACTGTGATTATGTTAAGAGGCCTTATTTTAGAATTATATCCTGAAATACTTGAGTAAAGGGGGGACCATGTTCACTGTGCTCTGAAGCAGTTTGGAAGATTATGTGTATGGCGCATGAAAGAGAGTAAGCAGTTATTGCAACTCTGGTAAAATGTTAAAACTAAGGAAATCTGGGTAAAAGGTAGCAGGGGACTTCTTTGCCCTATTTTGCAACTGTTTGGAATAAAATTATGTCAAAAATTATACAAAAACTACAAATTACAAAAGTTGTGTTACCCTCTAAACAAAACCAAGTATTCCAGCAAGGACTGATCTCAATGCAAACCTGCAGCTGGGACAGGGGTGCCATCTTGGAGCTCCCCAGAGCATGGGGCCAGTCCTGCTAGGGGCAGAGCGCAGCTCCTTAGCTCATCTGGTTTTCAGTGCAAAAATGCCGAACTTGCTCTGCCTACGCCAGCTCAACAAGAAGGCCGTGCTCAGCATGAAAGCACAGATCATGAAGGCCAAAGGTGAGAAGCTGATGAGGTCAACTCCAGCATCTCCCAGGCACTTCTGGAGTTGGAGGTGCACTCGGACCTCAAGGCTCAGGTAATGAGTTGAACACAACAGCACCAAAGAAAGCGGAGTTGGCAGTGGTCAGAGCAGATCATCATCTTGCTCCAGCTTCTCATTTGAAATCTTTCCAGAATATCCAAGTCTGGCTGGCATGTGAGCTGGAGAACAAGTTCACTGGGACGCATGTGGTCTTGACAAACAGCCTAAGCCATGTGAAAAAGAAGCAAAAGTGTCTTAGGAAGCATATTGAGTCATACACACTGGGATCCTTGAGGAACTGGTCTTCCCAAGAGAAACTACAGGCAAGAGACCGTGCTACATGTGATGGCAACCTGCTCACAAAAAGGTTCACATGCACAAAACATGGCAGAGCAATGGTGAACACAAGTGACACCTTTTCATCTGTCTGCAAGCAGCTCAGGCAAAGATGTTAATTTTGAATTCCCAGAGTTTGAGTTGTAAATAAAAATGACTAAATAATGTATTATTCATGATTAAAAAAAAAAAAGAGCAAAGGAAAAAAGAATGTCAAACTGTGGACCCCTGAACTGCTTCAGAATGGCTCGGAGCACAGTTTTCCTACACTGCTAGCATAGCTTTCAGTTACAAACACATACTGAGAGAGAGAGCAGCTATGTCAGGGCCCAGATGACACCGAACAGTACAGGGCTCAAGGCAAGGGCAAAGCTCACTTCTTGCCCATATTTATTCCTCCCCTTCTCAAAAGAGGCATACTGTAAAAGATAAAATAAGAAACAAAATGAGGCAACCCAAGAACTATGGAGAGGTAAAATAAGCAAAGTAGTGGGAGTAAAAATTACAGCCTGTTTGAGTTTCCAGGGAAGAGTGGTCAGTCAAGCCCCCAAAAAATGGATGGACAAAAGCTGAAACCACAGGACGGACACTGCAGAATGATATGACATAAAAGAGGAATCCAGGGTTCACGGGGAAAACAGGATGCTGTCCTGTATAGTCTCATCTAGACTAGCAAGACAAGAAAATGGGACTGGACCATGGCACAGGTGTTATCAAAACTAAGTTGTCAGACAACTGGCAACATGGGAGTCACAAGAGCCTCTCCAGTGAGCAGGAAATGCAAGTGGGACAGAAGGCCTATAATAGACACATCCAAGCCAGAGCTTGGTTTCTGGTAGGTAAAGCAAACTGATCCTTATTCCCTATAGCAACCCTCACCTCATGGACCTCAAGGTTGAGCTGCCAGAGGAAGAGAAGTAGATCACACAGAAGAGGCTTGTTGCCCAGTGAAAATGGAAACAAAGGTTATTCTTTTTTTCCTGGAAAGTGAGAGGCAATTTAGGAACAGATTCTATAAACATGCAGGGAATGGCCTCCTGTGCAGTCCAAGGGACTCAAGGTACACATAAGTAAGATAATATTTATAAATCTAATTATATGAAGGTACTAACAGTTCTTGTTAGGGTGCAATCCCAAACCAATCTGCTTTCTAAAGCCAGACCAATGGCCTTAATGATTCCTACCAAATCCTTTCTGTGGCATGAAGAAAACACAAAGATCAAATCTCCTCTACTCTCACTCAACATCTCTGGCCTGAGAAATTACTCTGGGTTCAGACCTTCACAGTGGGGGTCAGACAGTGCCGCATCAACAAAAGAATGACTCAGCTGAGCACTGGTGGCAAATGCCTGTAATCCTAACTACCTGGAATGCAGAAATCAGGAGAACTGCAGTTCAAAGCCAGCCCAGCAACAGTTTGCAAGACCATATCTTGAAAATACCCAGGACATGCACGCACACATGCACGCACATGCATACACATGGCTGGCAGAATGGCTCAAGTTGTAGCGCCTGGCTAGAGAGTGAGAAGCCAAGTTCAAACACCCCAGTACCACCAAAAAAAAAAAAAAAAGAGAGAGAGACTCAGCAGATTAAGATTGAGGGCACCAGAGTGCCCGAGGAGAGGGTCCTGGCATGGTCAGTCGCTAGATGCTAGGATAGAAACTACTGCAACTGGCAAGCACCAACACAAGAAGGTAGGTGCTGGGGACAGAAAGCCTTGAGCAGATGTGGGAAGATCAGACTGCTTCTCACCAGGAGGGAACCGCCGTAAAGACCGCCTGACGTCCAGCAGCACTTGTTGGTAGTCCTTGCTCATCTGCCGTAGGTCCTTCCCTATGTGGGGCGGGGGGAGAGGAACATGTTATTGCAGGAATGTCTGCAAAGCCAGAGAAGGAGCAAAGCATTCTTGGGCTACAAATGGAGCTCAGTGATACAGCACTCGCCTAGCATGCCCAAGGTCCTGGGTTTTGAGCGCCAGCACCACAAGTTAAAAAGAAAAGAAAAAGATTCTTAACACCATTTGGTTCTGAAATTCTAAAACTAAGACACTGTGAACAGGAGACAGAACTTGTGCGCAGCTGATAAGCCCAACACACTGTGAAAGGAAAGAAAAGAGTCTCTTGGATTATATATACAAGTGTACATTTCCCTCAACCCAAACCAGGTGCTGTATTAATAAGGATCTAGTCTCCTCACAACCCAAAATGAAGACTGGCATTGGAACCTGTGCGATACTTCCTCACCCATAAATGTCATCTCATAAGGGACATGGGAAGTCTGGAATCTGCCAGAAGAGCATCGTCCCAGTACTGAGCATATGAATATGGCAATGCCTTTGCCTTCCAGCAAAAAGCTGACTGCTCTGAGGCAGTCCATTCCAAAGATAATAAGAAGTGGCAACTCAGCACCTACTTGGTGGCACCATGACACTGTGAACTTTTTAGCTGCAGAGTCCTGTTTTAATCACTTCCAGAACCTGGCACACAGAGCAGCACAGCGGACATCTGCAAATGAATGGGAATTCCCAGCACCCGGCATTATCCCTAAGCACAGGAAAGCAATAAAGTGAACAGGCTGTGTGAGTGAGCAGTCAAGTGGCTTCACTAGGCTACAGAGCCTTCTTTCGTATGTTCAACTGCATTCCATGGAATTCCTTTCACTACATGACCCTGCAAATTAGCTAAATAACAACTTTTAGTAGAACTACAGAATTTGAGAACTCCAAAGGATTGTAGTATTTCCTGGTAAGACAGGTTTTTTTGTTTTTGTTTTATGCTTCTCCAAATGTTCATCCTTCTACATCAGAGTCAGCTGGGTGCATGTTAGAATACAGAGTCCTACAACCCACCCCCATCAAGTGAACCTGAGCTAGGACAGGCATCTTAAATAAACTTCCCACCTAGCCAATATTTTAACCCCTAATAAAAGCTTATTTCAGCTTTTTTTTTTTTTTTTTTGGTGGTGGTGGTACTGGGGTTTAAACTCAGGGCTTCATGCTTGCTAGGCAGGTGCTCTACCACTTGAGCCATTCACACGGCCTTTTTTGTGATGGGCATTTTCGAGATAGGCCCTCAAGAACTATTTGCCCCAGCTGGCTTCAAACCAAGATCGTCCTGATCTCTGCCTACTGAGTAGATAGGATTAGAAGCATGAGCTGCCGGATCAGTTTTTCTGTTTAAAAAAAATTTTTTTTGGCCGTACTGGGGTCATTTCAGTTTTGAATAAAATTCTACTTCCCATGGTGGGCTCAAGCATTTCCTAAAGTTTTTTTCTCTTTACTCATCTACTCTCAGTTCAAAATGAGCAAAAAAGGGTGGGTGGGCAAAGGCGTGGTCCTCCATGTTGTAAAATAAAGCCCTAAAGTCTAAAAAAAAAAAAAAAAGAGCAAAAAAAATCCAAGCTTTTGGAATTTTCTCTCCCTGCCTCCTAGATAGACTCCCTCCCCCCTTACCTGATTCAGGAGGTGGGTCACTGGTGTTGACATTGAGGAGCTTGGGCCACACTTTTCTTCTGATCTCATCATTCAGGAGCCCTCCTTCACTGATAGCCATGCGTCTGAGGGCAGCCACGTCAGTGGGATCACTGTTCAGGGCCTGGTATATCTCTGCTACTTTCTTTTTCCTTTTGGCATTAAAATCTGTAGAAAAAAAAGTGAGCGTGTGGAGGACAAGGCACACATTTAGCAGGCGTTAGTTTTCTACTTAGAGCTCCATCTCCCTATTTGGTTGGAGGGAAAGCAGGGATCTCTTCTTAGATAGATAGCTCTGAAATCATGGGTTGGCACAAAGTCTCTCATAGCCAGAGGCATTATCAATTTCGGAGCCAGTGCGATATATCTGAACTGGGGGACCTCACATGCTCATGATAAAATAGATTTGAAGGTGCTTACTTTTAAAAAGATGAATCATCAATCATAGGTGCACCCAGAATAATTATGGGGATATTTTTGAGACAGGGTCTTGCTACATAGCCAGGCTAGCCTCGAACTTGCTATGTAGTCCAGGCTGGCCTTGAATTCCCAATCCTCCTGCCTCAGCCTCCTGAGTAATCACATTTTTAAAGAAACAAAAGTGCAATGACAAAAGTATGTGTGAACATCAGGCAGATCTGGCTCTCTCAATTCTCTGTTCTGTAACTTTGGTAATATCACTTCACCTTTCTAGGCTGCAGGATTGATGCCTTCCTGTCATGAGAATCATCACATACACACTTGACATTTATTAAGTATTACTTCCCCTCCTCAAAACAATATAGATTTTAAGAATCAACCTACATATATTTAATTAGCAATTAATGTATAGAACAGTATGGAAATACACTGTAGGTAATAAGCAAGGAATTACAACTGTAATAAATGCTCAGTAAATTCAGGCCTTCCTAGCAGTTACTGTTGATGTTTTTTTTCTTTCTTTTATTTTGTCATTTTTACATTTACTTACATGTCTTTACATTGTTTAGGCCACCTCCCCCCATTAATATTTTCCTATTCTTCTTAATACCTAAACTTTATAGACCATATATATCTCCATATAAGAAGTTTTTCCTGGTAGAGCACTTTGTCAGCATGTGCAAGACCCCTTAGGTTCCATCAGCTCTGGAAAAAATTTGTTTGTTTTTTATTTTCCTGTTGTTTACGTAAGAAAAATGTATTTCAAAACTGTACTAGGGCTGGGGATGTGGCTCAATGGTAGAACACTTGCTGAGTGCTGGGTTCGATGACCAGCACCACAATAAACAAAAAAACCTCAATAATATACTTTAACAAGGCCACAAGGGAAAGTCTCCAGTTACCTGCTAATACAACTGGTGAAACATTAGAATCGCATGAGATTTTTTTCAGAAGCTCAGTGTCAAAGAGTACATGAGTTTCCAGTGTGGCTGGTGATGTTTCTTGATAGCCATATTAATTACTGGTGATCAGGAAGTAATGTTTTAAGCACCTTACATTCTTATGTGATAATCTATTATTTATAAGCATTTAACATGTTTAAATTATTTTTTAAGAGCTAGGTAGGGAGTTTGTGGTTGACATCTATCATAATTTCCCTATTTGAAATAATGGGGCCGTAGGCTCTCAGTGTTTTCAAGCAGAATGTCTACTCTTGAGAATGGCTCACTGAAGTTAAGTGGATGATGCCTGTATTTAGATTTTGTCTGGTTGTTTGCACCATTAAGAAAATAAATTGGCTGGAGGTGTGGCTCAAGTGAGAGCACCTGCCTAACCTAGCAAGCATAAGGCGCTGGGTTTGATCGATCCCCCAGCACCACAAAAGAAAGAAAGAAAGAAAGAAGAAACATAAGGGCTGGAGGCATGTCTCAAGAGGTGGAGAGCCTGCCTAGAAAGCGCAAAGCCCTGAATTGAAACTCCAGTATTGCCAAAATAAATACATAAATAAATAAATAAAAAGGAAAAGTCAGACATGACAACAACAAATGTCACAAGGCCCTGCATTATAACTGCCACTTCCCCCCACCCCCCCAAAAAAGGCCTTAATATAAGGCCTGAAACTTTGAAACTACTGCAGGAAAGAGTAGGACTACACTGGAACATACAGGCATAGGCAGTAACTCCCTAAATAGAACTGCAATAACTCAGCAATTAAGAGAAAGAATGGACAAATGGGACTGTGTCAAACTAAAGAGTTTCTGCACAGCAAAGGAAACAGTCACTGAGCTCAAGAGACAGCACACAGAATGGGAGGAAATCTTTGCCAGCTACTCATCTGATAACCAGAATCTACAGGGAGTTCAAAAAAACTAAATTCCCAAACTAACAACCCAATGAAGAAATGGGCAAATGAATTGAACAGGCAGTTTTCAAAGGAAGAAGAACAAATGGCCAGTAAATACATGAAGCAGCGCTTAACTTCCCTGGCCATAAAGGAAATGCAAATTGAAACTACACAAAGATTTCATCTCACCCCAGTTAGAATGGCCATCTTCAAGAGCAAAAACAACAAATGCTGGTGAGGATGTGGTGAAATAGGAACCCTTATATACTACTGGTGAAAATGTAACTTAGTACAACTATTATGAAAAGCAGTATGGAGATTCCTCAAAAAGCTAAACAAAGAATTGCCATACGATCCAGTGACGCCACTCTTGGGCATCTACCCAAAGGAATGTAACTCAGGATACAATAGAGACACTTGCACACCAATGTTTATTGCAGCACTGTTAACAATAGCTAAGCTATGGAAACCCAGATGCCCTACAATTGATGAATGGATTAAGAAAATATGACATACATACACAACGGAGTACTACTCAGCCATAAAGAAGAATGAAATTATGCTGTTTGCAGGTAAATGGATGGAATTGGAGGACATAATGTTAAGTGAAGTAAACCATGTTCAGAAAGACAAAGGCCACATGTTTTCTCTCTTATATGGAGGATAGATCGATAAGATAAACGTATATGCAAAAACAAACATGATTATATGCACATTTATATACAGAACATGTTTATAATGGTGGAACTACTCTATGGAGCTCAGGGAAAGAGAATAATAGTCAACAACATGGAAATGCATTACATCTGGGCAGGTAGAGGATGTAATGATATGTACTGAAAGCTGTTGAATAATAGGGCGTGGGGGGAAAGGGGAAGGAAGAGTAATAGAGGGGTTGACAAATCAAAGCACAGTACATTCACAGCTGACATACATTTAGAAACCCCTTTTAACACTGACTTTGGAATTAAAAATGAAAGGACTGTAAAATAGGTCCTGTGACTGGGAATGGAAGGGCTAAAGGAGAGGGAATATGGTAGGTGTGCTTTGTATACATATATAATATAGAACAATGAAACCTTTTGCAATTGTGTTAAGTAGGAGGGAGGCGGGTGAGGGACAGAGATGGTGGGAGAGAACCTAACCAAGGTACAATGTAAGCACATTTAGAAATGTCACAATGAATCCCCAAATGCTTTAAGAAAAAAAAGTGTGCAGACAATAAAGGCCAAGAGCTCAAAGAGAAAGCAGGGGTCAGGGTCACCTGAGAAAGGCACCTTAAAAAGAGGACTTAGTGGGACAGAGAATTTAGAAGGCTTGCAACAGGAAAATTAAGGCCCTTCCATTTGACAGCAAATAGACTCATTAAAAAATCTTTGTGGAGTAGATGTAACTACAAGGCACTAGAGTTAATGTGAGTGGAAGATAATGCCGGAAGATAAGTTAGACTTTAGAAGGGACTAACATCAGATGGTGTATTAGGTTTTAGAAGGGGCATTAAACAGCTTTCTGAAATGTTCTCTTCCAAGATAACAGTCTACAACTGTCTCCATGACCAACCTGCTTACTATTAACACAAATGAGAGTCGGTACTCAGAGCCCTGGTGACCTACCTATGACAGCTGTGACATATATATAAGCTGCATAAACAGAGAGTTGGAGTCACATGCAATTGCAGGTGCAGACAAGAAATAACACAAGTGACTTTTAGCCCAGGGAAACTTGTTCTCTTGATTAGACTACTGTTGTTTTTCCCAATAACCTAGAAGAGCAGCTACTGCCTGAGACCAACCCAGTGCCCTATACTCTTGCCATAACTGTTCAGAGCAAACCCAGACTGCTCCCTGCACTTTCACAAACAGCCCAGTTTGGATGCTAAATTAAAACAGTTGCTTTCCCAACAAATCATGAAAAATCAAGCCTCCAATTCCCTTTGTCAGCACAGTACTTCCTTAGTCAAATGTTTCTGAGGTGCATCAAGCTTTTGGCTCAGGTGCATCCTTCCATCCACCTACCCACCTGCCCGCCTGTCCACCCATCATCATCATCCATCAGTTAACAAGAGTCTTCCGTACCAGGCACTAGACTGGGGCAAAAGATGAATGTGAGTCTCTCCCAACTCTCAAGAACCTCGTGGTATAGAGAAACACAGTTATTACATAGGACAGAAAAGTCATGAAGGATGATGAAAACCGAGGAAAGAATGACTACTTTTTTTTGACAGTGCCGGGCCTGCACTTACTAGGCAGGTGTTCTACAACTAGAGGCATGTCCCCTCAAGAGCAACGACTTCCAAGGCAAGGAAGAAAGGCTTCGCTAACAATGCGTTCTGGCACCTTCTTGAAAACCTTGCCACATAGAAGAGTGTGTCACAGGGAAAACATCCCTGGCAAAGGAAAGAGTATGTCATATGAATGAAATACCTTGTCAGGAGGCACAGAGAAGTTCTGGGAAGTGCATGCTAGGCACAGGGAGAGAGGACAAGTGCAAGTCAAAGTCAACTGGGTTGTCTGACTAGGGAGTCTGGGCCCCCTGCAGGGCCATCATCCTTCAGAAGACCAGGATGGATGTGTCAAAGGAAGGTCACCAGAATCACTGACACACAGGAGGTTTTGTTTATTTGCTTGTTTTTGCAGTGCTAATGAATGAATTCAGGGACTCGTGCATGCTATGCAAGTGCTCTATCACTGAGCCCCACACCCAGCCCGAGAAGACTTTTTATATGACAGTATAAGTTGGGACAAATTATGAACAGGAACTAATTGAGTTACTTTTCAGAAAAGGAAAAAAAAGCTAACAGATATCTAAGTTTTTAACTTGAGGACCCTTGCACGTCCCACAGGTTGAATTAAGAACAATGATAGAGCAATCCTGAGTATTGCTTAAGGGAATCTGACATTTACTAGTTTTGTTGACCCGTTGCTAAGAGTATGGAGAATTCGTCTCAATTTTCCAAGTAAGCTATTCAGCAATGTGGGGGACAGGACAATTGCTGCTTGTAGTCAGGGACAACACTGTAATCATCTAGGTGTCCCTGAGGTTTGGACAAAATAACTGGCCAGAACATTAACTGATGCTGAACCCGAACCACAGCTCCAAAACTTTATTTCTCTTAAGACTGTTCCAATTCTATTTTTAATCCTGCATTTCAAAACTTACTATCTTCTTTTTTTGGCTCTCTGTGGGGACTCAATAAACGTGCAGAATAGATTATTTAGCATAGTTACTGCTCCTCTGGAAAAAACTGGCCTGTAGTAAATGGCATCACTCTTCCCATACTACTGTTAAGAATATGCTTACTGGGCTGGGATGTGGCTCAAGTGGCAGAGTGTCTGCCTGGCAAGTATGAGCCCTGAGTTCAAACCCCATTACCACCAAAAGAGAAAGGGAGAGACAGGAAGCAGGGGGGCGGGGAAGAGAGAGAAAGAGAGAGAGAGAGAGAGAGAATATTCACTGTAGAACTCTAAGTAGACCTCTACAACTCCTGATGCTTTTCCAGAGCAGGGTGCTGCTCATATATGGATTTTGGCTGCTTTCTGTTCAGGCCATGATACTGCCTTTTCATGTCCCAATACTTAAACCTTAGTGGCAGATGAGACATGCCACCCCACAATCTCATTGTGATACAGAAAGATAAAACAGAAAACTCAATGGAGCTAGTGATATATAAACCACAGTGTGAGAAGGTCAACTGCTAGCCTACACATAAGTGAGAAGAGGTTGGCAGATCTCAGTGAATGATTAATTCACATGCATAAAAGAGAAAAGTCATCCAGTCACCCCTGGGATGTTCAGGAAAAGATTAAAATGAATGCTTACTATCTATTTTATGGTAACTTTTATGTATATAGATTTTAGAGCTGGACACAAATTGTTGGACTTGTGAATACTGAATGTGGGCTCAGAGTAAAAGCTTACCTCTCCTCTACTGTTGTCATAAATACCATTCTAATCTCCCTGAATCCTTGCTTCTCCGATTTCTTTATTGCCTCACTTATAAGAGAGGTGTACTGTATATTCCAAAGCTCATACCTTCCAAATTTCTTTGTAGTAGAAGACATGGCTATCTTAAGCATGATGGAATGAAATGCTTGTCCTACAGCTGGCAGCAAAATATATGACTGCTATAAATAAATCCCTGATGCCTGAAAAGTAATTCATTCAACAAAGGAAAAAGAAATGACAGAGGCACTACTTGGGCCTGCTCTCCATTAACATGTGTTCTTTGTTCTTCTTTTTTACTGAACTGGAGATGGAACTCAGGGCCTCAAAGGTGCTAGGTAAGCCCTCTACCACTAAGCCACATTCCCAGTCCTTATTCTATATAAGGGCCACTGAAGCAGCCATTCTTAACAGTTCAGATACAGATGGCTGAGTCCATTGTTGCCTCTAACAATTCGGCTATAGAACCCAGGTGGAGATTTCTGTCTCCTTAGAATAACTTAATATTCTGGGAAGGACAACTACAGATGGTCACAGCTATGCATCCTCTCAGTTTTCCCATTTAAATAATCAGTTATGTGGATTTGGTAAATGGATGACACACTTACATAATGCTTATGTGAGAGTACAAAATTCCATGCATATCCAGAAGCTTTAGTCTTTAAACAGAAGTAAACTCAAATTTTAAAATGCTAGCCTTACTCAAAACAACTGAAGAGCCAGAGAGAGATTCTTCTAGAGAGATATCCTATGCCACCCATGAACTCCTGATATTGACATTAGAAATTAACTTGCAAATTTATGCTTGAACTTCATGTCTGTATGGAAGATAGACAGTTAAAAAGGAAAACCTTAATGTATTCTGAGTAAGATTCCTATTAAAAAGAAAATAAAACAAAGTAGCCTCTGTCTTTGATAGTTCTAATTAGTTTCTACAAAACAGAAAATTAGAAGAAAATGACTACATGAAACAAAGAAAGGCTGAGGCAGGAGGTTCACAAGTTTGAGGTTGGCCTTAGTGAGATCCCCTACCTCAAAATAAAATAACAAAAGGGCTGGGGATGTTACTCAGTGATCCTGGTTCATTCCCCAATTACCTCCCCCACCCCCCAATAAGGATGCTTTACTTCAAAAATGGAGAATACAGTCCTCAGAGTAAACCAATCTGACCATAAACTCTACAGAGCAGAAACGACAACTTCTCTAAATTCCTCCTTTTCATCCAGAGAAGCAGAATCAAGGGAAACTGGAGGAGGGAGAGTCTTACAACCTAGATATAGTCACGCTGCAACAGGTCACAAGACCAATGTGGCTTGGGGTGTTGACTATTATGCCGTGAGGACAAATGTCGCACAAACACCAGCGAAAGGCTACAATTCCAAAGAGCCCAGACAAGTTAATATGTGGAGCGAGCTGAGCTTCCCACCAGTATCAGAAAAAAAGAAAAGCAGGGTAACAGGAAATGAGCCCTAAGAAGTGAATACCAGAAAACTCATCAAAACACTGAATTACATGGCTTGTTTTATTATGGACACCATCCAGAAATGGATGGCAAAGTGGAGAAGCACCTTAGCATTCCCTGAGGGAGGAAAAGGATTATTTTGCTTGGTACAGGATAGACGTTCAGATTTTTTTTTTTTTTTGGCGGTCCTGGGAGTTGAACTCAGGACCCCGGGCTTGCTAGACAGACGCTAAACAATCAGAATTTTAACTGTCATGTACTTGCTGTATGGAAAGATGTAATTTTTAGAACATGGCCAGCAAAGCCATGATTTCACAGCAATTATTTAGACTGAAAGCGTGTAACAAACAGAATCTACACAACTAAGTGACATTAATATCTGTGGCACGGGACAAGACAGAAAGTAAGAGGAGCGGTTGCCAGAAGCCGGGGAGCTGGGAACGGGGTGTGACCGCTAATGGGAGGGGGCTTTCAGCAATCAGAAGTGTTCTGTAATCGGACAGTGGCGATGTCTGCACAACTTTGTGATGTATTAAGAAACCAGGGGTGAATTTTATGGTAACTCAAAGAAGCAGGTGGCACCCGGCGGCCGCGGGAGGGAGGATGGTCCCATGAGAGTGAAGTTTGGGAAGGCGGCTCTGGACGGAGTGTGCGGACGTGGCCGGCGGCGAGGCCTGCCCAGCCGTCGGGGAGCCGGCTCTCCACTCCACACGGAAGGAGGCCGCAACGCCCAGCCCCCGCCCGTCCCATCCCTCTGGGACTCGGTCCTACCGGGGCTCCTTCCTTCAGCGGCCCATTTTTAACTCCAGGCCGGAGACCGGGCCCTTCCTCTCTGTCCTCTCCTCTCCCACCAGCCGCCCCCGACCAGCTTCCATACCTGCTTTCTCGGCGCCGTCCCAGCGGCTGAAGGTGGGGCCGTCTCCCTGCGCACGCCGGAGGGCCATGCCCCGGGGGCCCGGGCCACCCCCCACCCCCCCCACCCCCCCGAGCCCCGGCTGGTGGCCGAGCGGGAGAAGACGCGGCCCCCGCCGCGGACGCAGAGCCCGCTCCGCCGCGGAAGGCTCGGCTCCGTCGGCCGTGACACGCAGAAGCCACGCCCCCACACGCCGGCACGTGACCTCCGCTACGCCTGGCGGGCAGCGGAGGGGTGGGGGCCGGCGGCGGGCTGGGCGCGTGCGCATGCGCCTTGAGCGACCGGGAAAACGAGCCGGACTCGGTGTTGGGATCCGTTCAGTGTGAACCGTAGAACGTGAACCACGGTGGGTGCGGGGTCGGGCCTTGCCATTGCTTTACATGTGAGATAGTAATGATGATCATAAAAGTACCGAGCTCCTGGTGATTGAGCTTGTGCTTAGAACATCACTGAGCAGAGGGCTAACGCTCTGCTGCCTGGTTAGGAGCTGTTATTTTTGCTTACCAAGGATTCTACCTACCTCCTGTCTCACTCTCCCACACGAGCTCCGGTCATACTTGGCTACTTCAAATTTCAGCAGCACCACCGCATAGGGCTTCGCAGCATGCACTGCACAACGCAGGGGGTGCCATTCATGTAGACGACCATGGGAACAGCGCATCCCTCTCCCCCTCTGAGTTGTGCAAAACAGTGGCCACTCATCCAAAATAGCACTCTGTCTTAGTAGGTCTTTGGTCTCCTTATCTCCAATGGTATTCTTTATTTCCAGCCGGACACCCGTTCTCCAGCCACATTAGTTTGTTTTTTTTTTTTTTCCCCTTTTTCGGTACTGGAGCTTGAACTCAGGACCTCACGCTTTCTAGGCAGGAGTTCCATCACTTGAGCCACTCCTCCAACCCCCTCAGCCACACTTGTGATAGCATCGTGGCCAGAAACTGCCTCACTTCCAAGGCTAGAGACTACTCTGCTGTTCTTGTGATTCTAGTTGCTTGATGGCCCTCTTCTCCAGCCCCACCACAGACCGCCTTCCCATGAACTACGATGCTGGACCCTCCTGCTTTCATGTTCTGTCTAGTTCAGTTTCCAGAGTTCACCATTTATTACACTGTAAGTCCTTTTTTAAGTCTCCGTAATGACTTTCATGAGCAGAAATGAAGTTACTTTGATTTTTAAAACTAATATTCAATTTATTAAGATTAGAAACCTAATCTAATTTCAAGTCACAAATTTCATAATTCTACTTACAAATCTAGCAAATTATAAATTTTTTTTTTTTTGCAGTACTGGGGTTTGAACTCAGGGCCTACACCTTGTCACTCCACCAGCCCTTTTTTTGATGGTTATTTTTTCGAGATAGTCTCTCGAACTATTTGCTCAGGCTTGCTTTGAACGATTCTCCTGATCTCTGCCTCCTGAGAAACTAGAACAATTTTTTTTTTTAATCGCACTAATGAACTCAGTTTAAAATCTTTTGGGGCTGGCAGTGGCTTAAGTGGTAAACAGCCTGCCTGGCAAATATGAGGTCCTTTCAACTCTTAGTATCACGCCCCCAACAAAAAAATTTACAATCTTTTGAACACTTGATTCTACATATATACATATATTTTTTGTTTGTTTGTTTGAACTCAGGGCTTCAAGCTCTACTGCCTGAGCTACACCTCCAGTCCATTTTGCTCTGGTTATTTTGGAGATGGGGGTCTTGAGAACTATTTGTCTGGGCTGGGCTTGAACCATGATCCTCCCAATCTCAGCCTCCAAGTAGCTAGGATTACAGACCCGAGCCACTGGCGCCCAGTTTGAAAGGCTTTTAAGCAAAAGATGAGAAGATGAAGATGTATGTTTCTCAAAGATTTCTCTGGTTGCAGGGTATAGGATGAATCTAGAATTAAGAGCCACAGGGAAGACATGGAGACCTGCTATGATAATCCAGGCAGAATAGTGGCCTTCATGAAGGATTTGGCAGTTAGCATGGTGGGAAAGGATGCATTCAAAAATAAATATCCGTTTATTGAAATTTAGTTGACTTTTTCACTATAGTAGTACATAGTTTTAAAAGCACATAGTGCTATGTTTACAATAAAAACATCAAAACAGCATTCCTATAGTTTTTTTCAATTTTAGCCATTATTTACATCCTTCTATAAATGATGAGCATTTAGTACTCTTACAGAGCAAATCCACACAATTATCACCTCAATAAATAGAACATTGGTAGACCCCAGAAGTTACCTATGTGTATAGGATTTTATGTTGTTTCTGGCCAGGGAGCCTCAAAGCCTAATTTGATTACTGTTGCTCGAAAATAAGAATTCTCTCTGGAATAAAAAAAAAAAAAAAAAAAAGAATTCTCTCTGGTAAGTACACATATAATTGGTCCTCTGTAACTGAGAGTTCCACATCCATGGCTTCAGCTGAGAGATGAAAACATTCGGGTAAAAATTGCCTGGTCTGAGCAATTTTGTTCTTATCGTTACCTAAATGACCTAGTGTTAACTACCTACACAGAATTTACACTGTGTTAGGTATTGTAAGTCATCTAGAAATGGCTTCAAAGTATGACAAGGGTTTTTGTTGGTTAGTTTCTACATCCCTTCGTGGAGCATCTGTGGGGGTCCTGGGACCAATCCTCCACTGACACCAAAATATGACTATTTAAAGTGTCACAGGTCTCTTAGAATTTGTCCAGCAGGTTTTCTGGCTTATGCTAGAAAATCCCCCCAGTTAAAAAAAAAATCTGTATAGCTGTAACTCATGTATACCTTAGATAATACAAATGAATAAAATTACCCACAATTCCTACTCCTCAGTGATAACCAGCTGGTATAAAAGTTTTTCATGCAAACATACATACAGATATTATATACAAGGCCTTCATGGTTGAGACAACTTGGTTGATTGCATTATTGGTTTCCATGCCTCACTGCCCTGAAATGAAACTATACATGCATACCCTTTGCCATACAACCTCAAGTAGCTCTTATAGCACAGAGTATACATCTCCTTGCCCCACTGATGTTGGGCTTGGGCATGTGACTTGCTCTGGCCAAAGGGTTGAGAGTGGAGGTGACACAAACAGAAGATTGAGATGTGCCTGTGTGACTGCATTTGCAGTCTAAGATATTCACCGCAGTCCTGGGACGCTGTAGCTTCAGCATGGTACCCAGAAGAAACCACACATAGAGCCAATGTTCAGTCCAATCCACAGGGCACTGCCCAACTCAGCTGACAACCTCAAGCACAGCTGTTTGGCTGAACCTAGTCTAGACCAGTTTGAAGTACAGTTGACCTAGAATTCTTATGTAAGGACAAGACTAGAGCGTGTGAACAAAAGCAAGAAAAAGTTCATCTGTTATGACTGGCTAGAAAGCTGGATAGAGAGATTCCTAAAAGCAGAAGTGCTCAGGAAGCTGAATGACCCAGTAGAGTTCTGAATCTCAAGTGTGGGGCCTAATAGTTGGAGCTTACTAAACTAAATCTTTTTTTCCAAGCCAGCTAAGGCAGCCCCTCTCTAAGAATGCTTCCCTGACCATTCTTCCTTTTCCAAGAGTTCAGGGTCCTTTCCTAAAATGAGTTTTTCTGTGACATCTATCATCATCACATCCCCCAGGGCAATTACACCTCATATTTTGTTTTCCAATTTTGCTTCTGTGGAGGCAGTCCTTTTAAGTTTCAAGGGATTGTTTCAGTTTCTACCTTGAAAGGCCCTGAGGCTGTCTCCTACCTCCCTGGGGGCATTCAAACCTTAATCCTAGTCTCTGAGGCTTGTCTGTATCTAGGCCTGGTGTCTACTAAGTCACTAGTGACTTTAATACCACTTACCTTCAGAATGAATTCCTCTTTTCTGCCACCTGGGAATTTCTGCTTCTTTGAAATGGGCTATTTATTCGAAAGTAAATTAAGCTATTTTGTGTAGCACTACTTGTATTTGGAACAAGAAGGGGATATATATGTAAGTTAGTTCAGTCTACCATGTTGACTGGAAACCTTCAATTTTCCTAAGAAGTTTGTTTTTTTGGTGCTGCAGAACCCAGAGTCTCACACACATCAGGCAAGGGCTCTACCACTGAGCAATACTTGCAGCCCTTCCTAGGGAACTAAACAAAAAATCAGAATAAATACACATCCAGGCTCTTGCCTTTCACTTTTCCATTTAACAACATCTACTTCCCTACAAATGTGGGTCTTGTCTCTCCATCTCAGTATTTGGCACAAGGCCAGGCTCTCAGACCCAGCACATTTATTTAAGGGCATCTCTTAAGAGAAATTACCTCTGTAAAGGCCAGTCAAGGTGGGTGAGTGGCTGAGGAAGCCCAGATGAAGTGGGGAACAAAATCATATATAGCTTAGGGTGTGAAGAGCTGAGGGGATTTAGGTTTCTTCAAAAGAAATTCACCATGGTGGGGGTAGTGAGGGATAAAGGAGAATAGTGGAGGGGGTGAATTCAAGTATATTTGATATATTGTAAGAATTTCTGTAAATGCCACAATGTACCCCCACCCAGAATAAAAAAAAAAAGAAATTCACCTTGGACTTTACCACACAGAAGCAATGTTCTCCCTTCCAAGGTCCAGTTAGAAATATTTATCTACAGCTGAGACTGACTCACAGGGTGGGATCAAGAAGCCACTTACCAGCTGCTGTTGACTCCCCTTATCCCTCTTTTCTCATTAGAGGAGCCAAGACAACTCTGTCAAAGTAGGTGATGCAAGAGTGCTGCTGACTCAGAAATGCTTAATCCCCTCAAGAGCTTCTCTGAGAAATGGACTGCTGTTCTGTAAGCTGTCATCTGGAGGTACCTGGGGAAGGGCTTCTTATGTTGCGGTTCAGTAAGAATCCCTATTGACTATAGCCACAGGGAGACAAATCCAGCTTGTAAGTGCAAAAAAGATTTGGCTTTTTCAGGAGACAAAATGATAGGGGAAGAGTGGGAGAGGGTGGAAACAGAGCAATGCTGACCTTTGTACAAACAGAAACTTCACTTACATCTGTTGAAAACCTACCATGTTTAATGTATATCCTTTTTTTTTTCCCCTCCTAGTGAAGACTTTACTGCCATCTCCTGGAAAATTGTTAGGAACTTCCTAAATGAACAAATCCATGGAATCCCTATGGATGTAGCATCCTTTTATTTTACAGAATTCAAAGTACAAATTGACAT